AAAGATAATATTTCAAACCATTTATTTTCAAAGTCTTATTATTTTGAGGATGATGGGACACAAAAACAAAAGACAAGTACAGATTTTTGTGACATATTGACTTCAAGAGTATGGTATCTGGCCTGATCATATGGGAAAAGGGGTTGGGAGGTCAAATAAAACGTATCAAGGAAAGAAAAATCAGTTCAAAGCAGGAACATTTGGTATTATTTGACCTGTATGTGTTAACTCACAAGCCTAGTTTGTAATATGTTTTCTTGATGATTTTATTCACAATGCATCAGTTTTATTCAGTTTTTTGGACACTAAAAGCTTCTCATGACATGTTATTCATTCACTCCAAAAACATGCTGATAAACTACTACTGTAGCCAAAGTAACCGGCATGTTGTAGCCGCCCTACTGCGGCACCTGGTGTTAAGTAAGTAAGTAAGTAAGTAAGTAAAGTTTATTTGTATAGCGCCTTTCACAGACCAGGGTCACAAAGCGCTTCACACATTAAAATACAAAATACACATACAAGTCAGATAAAACAAACACAGAAAACACAGTTTACATTCACAGAGGCCTATGAACAATGGTGCGAGAAAGCCTGTCCAAACAAATGTGTCTTTAGTTGGGACTTAAAATCATCAACAGTCTCTACGATACGCAGAGACTGAGGAAGCTCATTCCAAAGGCGAGGAGCAACTGCCTGGAAGGATCTGTCTCCTCTGGTTTTGAAACGAGTCCGGGGGACCATCAACAGGTTCTGAGTAGAAGACCTCAGACTCCTGTTGGAGACATAAGGGTGGATCAGGCCCTCGATGTATTCAGGCGCCTGACCATGATGGGCCCTAAAAGTCAACACCAGAATTTTAAAATGTATTCTGTGTGAGACAGGGAGCCAGTGTAAGGCCTTTAAGACAGGGGTAATGTGGGCTCTCCTGTGGGTGCGGGTCAAAAGCCTAGTGTTCCCAGGGGTCTCCCATCACAGCACTAACCAGACCCTGTCAGGATCCTGCTTTCACATGCAGGTGATGCCAGGATTGGAAGAGAGAAAGCACCCAGACACAAAGGCCAATCAATCCACACCTCACCATCCTGTTGGAATCTGCAAATAGGGAGAAAACAAAAACAAACAAATGTGGTGAGATGAAGGAAGGACCCAAAATGCAGGAACGCAAAAACAAGGAATACAAAATTACGATGATGAAATGAAAGGCAAGGGACCAAAAAAACTAAAATATCCAATTGAAACACAGGAACCAGAAAAACTGGCAAACAAAGACAATGGACCAGCAACAAGGGGAGAGGAGCCCAGAAAAATATAGACACAAAGAGACAGGTGAAACACATGAGGGCCGTCCTTTGAGCATGTCATATTTATTTTTGTATATTAAAAATTCTGTTTACTGGCTTTTATTATCCCAGAATGACAACAAGAATCAGACTAGTTTTTTGACTCTGAAAAATGACTTTTGGGTTGGATCAATACCTGCAAATCAGTTACAAATCATGCTGTATGTGCCTTTCACTCCCAAATGTTACCCATAATCTTCATATTATGGTTTTTAAATAGTTTTATACATATATAACAATGTTGTCTTGAGTGCTGCTGTTACAATCACATATTTGAGTCTGAGGAAGAACTTCTGCAACACATGGTCAATGAAACTCCGGTAAGTAGACAAGTTGAAAACAAAACTACTTATGCAACGAAAACAATTGAAACCATTTGAAATAGGTAAGTCTGCAGTCCTTTCACTATTGGATCATACCTGGTATCGGTAAATACTGAAGCCAAAGTATCTGTATCGGAAAGTGGAGTGTAGAGAGTTAAAAAGCTTGGATTGTTATGACTTCCGCTTCATTACTTGCCTTTACCTAGAAAGTCAACACTACACTTTTTGTTACTAAGTTAAACCCCTCTTCCAATTGAGCACCTGGTCTTTTAAATAATTGTACACGCTTGTACCACGCTGCACTCCTTACCCATTGTTTTCTTGAGAAATACTATCGGTATCGGACTTGAAAAAGCTGTGCCTCCCTATTCCTAACACTCTCATTGCAGAGGGCAAGTACCCAACTCTAACAACCTTGTTCAGCTCCGTGGCTAACACTTCCTAACAGTCTTGCTTACTTGAACGGAGTAAGACCTCTTTTATCTGCACAGTGGTGGACCTGTTTGCTCCTTCATTTATCTCCCAGCGCTCCGTACCTCCCCTAATTACAGCCATTGTTTACCTCTAAGCTGGCACGCCTATTGAATTATTGATGCCCGCCCTGCCCCAGTCAGTTCCACGGCCTCGCCAACGGGCACGATCCGCCAACGGAACGGAAATCCTGGCAATGCGCAACCAGCACCCCCACAGACAGCCCACTGAGTTATGATGGGTCGGGACATTTGTATTTTCCTGGCAGTGAACGTGGCACTGCATATGTGCTCCTCATATTCTGCTTCTTTCAAGACAGGCTGAATTAAACCACCATAAACACATAAGTAACACTGGGAATTCCAGCGTTCTGAAACAATGAGAACGCCCAGAGCAGTCATATTTACGTTTCCCATTGAAAATTCTGAAAAAGTATGATTTCCTCGTTGTTTTATTAAAAGTAAGTAATTTATAAGGCTTTTATCTTTACTCAGTTTTAAAAAGTGCTAAAACTGGTGAATATATCAATTTGAAATACAGCGAAAAAGGCGGCCAAATGCAAACTGCTTCAAGTAAACAAAGTGTTGCTATGGTAACTAGCACTTTCTCTCGTCTGGTGGAAAAATATGCTGAACCAGGACCGGTCCAGAACCAGAACCTTGGCAAACAGGCTATAATTGCCATAGAATGTTGGTTTCCCCAGAGACCAGAAATGGCTAAAATTAAAATTTACAAAAGGAACAGTCTAAATGATGGCTCTGGGAGTTAAAGGTAGAACTACTCACATTTCAAAAAGTACTTTCATACGTAGAAGTAAATTACATAAATACAGAAAAGGTCAGTGTTAATTGAGCTCCCAGGATCATATTTTATCATGATGAGCCACTCTGTTGCATTCATTACATATCTTATCATCAAACTTCTGACAATCAAATCACAACAACTGATGAACTTCCCAAGAGCTCATTTTGTGAAGAGAATAGCTCGGCGGGTGTAATTCAAGTCGCATTCAATTTGCAAAACCTGCCGACAGTGCCTCGTAATGACCCACTTATGGAAGACGTACATTAAAGTGTTTCAAGCTTTTCGGCAAATATGAAAGCAAGTAAGACCCTGCCAAATCTGTGAATGATTACGTTCAACAATGAGTAAATCTGCAGAACTAAAATTCAATTTCCCACAATCCCCCAGTCCTCCTGCTCAACGCCATTCAGAGCTGGCAAGGATTTAGACTTAAGGCGACTTAGAGGTGATTTATGCGCTGACGCAAAAGGGGGAGCGAGAAGAATGCGCAGCAGTCGCAGTGTCACGGCTTCCAGTTTGCCAGACACGACGGGCCCAATGCGAGGGATCAGATAGCAGGGTTCTCGAGGGTGAACCCAGGCTTAACACCCCTGGGTAACCTTTGGGTGAATCAATCTAAGATGTCAGAGCCACACGAGATAGGGATGACATGCTTGTTTAGAGCGGTCCCGCCTCGACACGCTGGTCTATTAGAGATTGCACAGTCCGTCTCGGTGGACTTCCTGTTTGAGAGGGAAAAGGCAATATATCATGTGTCAGGAAGCCCATTCAGAGATGTATTATCATAGATGGAACTGTCTGCGGGGAGAGCAGGGCAGGCTTGTCAAGGGGATGGGTACAACTTAGAGAAAATGTTGGGACCGATGTGTTCTTTCAGGCGACACGAGGTTGCATGTTCTCCTTGTGTCTGCGTAGGTTTCATCTTGGTGCACTGGTTTTCTCTACCACTAAAAACATGTATTATATGAATTAATGTAATAAGAGAGTGAATGGATTGTGTGAAAAGTGGATGGAAAGTACAAAACATTGTAAAGACCTTTCGGAAAATTCGGAAATTTGAATATTTTTCAAAATGTCTAATTCTAGAAAGCTAAAATAAATAGATTTATTCTTAAATACTCTCAAAGAAAGGACATAGCTTCAAATTTCGTGGAGTTCATTAACTAATTCCAGGAAAACAATCAGTAGTGACACTTGCCATGAACAGATAAAGGACCTAAGTTAGTAAGTAAGTAATCTTTATTTATATACCGCCTTTCACAGACCAGAGTTGAAACCAAAGCGGTTTACATTTTATATTTTTTGGGACTAAAGGGACTCACTATTGTAATTGTATGTTTCTTTATATTATTGAATCAGTGGAAGCATTGTCCTTTTTTATTTTATCTCTTTTATCAATTTGTTCAGATACATCTTTTATACACAACTGCTGCTGTGGCGCCACCTGCCTGTGAAAGCCAGTTCCAGTCAGACCACATAGTACTGTACTATCTTTAACGGGAACATCAGCTGTCACATTGTAAAGTGCTCAACTGCCAAACAATAGGTTGGAGTGGCACGAGGGCAAATACTGGTTACCTCTCTTCTGTCAGTGTGCCCCAGGGCAGCTGTGGCTACAGTGGTAGTTTATCACCACTGTGAATGGAGTGAATGAATAATGACATGTGAAGTGTTTAAACCCATTCATTATTACAATGACAATAAAACCATCTGATAGATGACATATTTACTGCGCAGGAGATACATAGCTTATATTTCCCAAAAGAGGCTTGCAACGCTCATTAGAATCCAGTGACCAGTTGACCTTGAACGCATAATTGAGTGGTTTTCAGAATTTTTTACACTTAAACATTTGCATCTTGTCCGGTAACACGTCAGCATTACGTATTGCTGTATGTAATAGCACAGCATAAAGCATTACGGGGGCAGGCTGAAACGCCACATAAAGCATTTCCGTGTTAAACTGAGTCCGTCGGCATAAAGAACGGAGATTCCTGGCCGCACCTTTTATATTGAGCGCACCGGGCCACCATAATATATTCAACGCATTTGCCTGGTTACATCACTGACGTATACCCTCCTTATCTATCCCCTGCAAGAGAGGGCATTAAAACACATCAGAAAATGTCACATGCATAAACTATTATATCTATGGAATCATTTAGTGAGAATGGATGAAAGGGCAGCTGGTAGGCACTGCTTATTCATGTGTCTGGTAAACCATTATGGCCTGCGTATGTTATTGTGGTGATTATAGCACTATTAGCAGCATGTTAACCAATATGCTCAAAACAGCTGGAGCCCTGAGCTTTACAGTGTATTTGCATTGTATAATTTTCCTGCTTGACTTTCAACGGGAAATGGTAATCATAACAATTTAAGAACTCATTACAGACAAACGAGAAATACAGTAGACTGTGTTTTAGCCATCAAGGCCAGTCTATGGGTGTGCCATGAAACTCCGCTGTGGAATACTGTTTTTGTCATAAAAATGTACGTAAATGAAAATGTTAAGAGTTTGGCTCGTTGAAATTCTATGCTAATTTCTCTAATGACGACGGTTCAGAAAGGTCTTTAACTATGAAAAAATATGCATGCACAAAACAAAATCTAAAGAGAAATCAGTCTGAGGCTGTGAGTGGAATAGGATGAAGCTGATTATTTAAAACATTGAATGTCCATGGATGTGTAACAGTTCTATGCTGCTGTTTTCCTTTCATAATTTTACAAACACACACCTGATTGTGAAGTAAAACTGGGTTACCTAACTTTAAAAAAAGGTTACGCTAACTAACTAATTCGTTTTAAAAAGTCTGGATCCATCACTAGTTTTTACCTACAAATATTTGTTAGCCATCAGTTCGGGGGTTTTCAATAAGATGGAGACTGAATTTCCGGGTTTTTACAAGACAGCATCAAAGGCATGATTGTGAAGGGAGAGGGAATCATTTTGAAAACAATCACTCATTTGCAGCCTCTCGCTGCAGGTGGTTCGAGGAGTCTTGAGACACAACCCCAAAATTCACACACACACACACACACACACACACACACATACACTCACACATTCACATTTACATATAGATACATGAAAAAGCAGAACATGAGAAAAAAGCATTTTAAAAGTTTACTCCAATGTAAACACATATTTTTAATTGTCTATCACTTGAATCAGTATTTTTTGAGACCAGAAATGTTCATTTGAATTCTATATTGTCATGGACTTAATTGACGTCTGTCCTGACACTTTTGATTTGTTGATTTTGTACTGTGTGAAGTAATTACATTGATTAGAATTAGATCTGATAAAAACACAAATTAGAGAAGTAAACTGCGCTTGCTTTTGTCTGAGAGACATTAGCAACAGCATGAATAGAAATTGTGTTAAAGTAGAATCAAAGTGACTTAACCATAGAGAGTAACTACTGCATAACAAGCTGTGTACAGGAACTGAGACACTGCACCATTGACCAGAAGTGCATCCCAAGTGACCTGATGTGCTTCAACTGAAAAGACTGTATCTGGAGATCTGATGTCCAACTGGAGAGACCAAAACTATGGCTTGGACCCTACTGATGTCCAAGATGACCTGACCTGATGACGACTGAGACTCACCCTCAGGGGACCTGAGGACCTGAGGACCTGAGGATCTGAGAGAGAAAACTGGGGAGTGATGTTTATATTTTTGAAATCATACATTGATGAGTGCTAAATGAGACAGATACTCATGATTCTTTCTTTTGTTTGTGTTTGTCCCTAGCTTCTGGACATCTGATGATCTATTGGACACAGCCATTTGCAGAACAAGAACCAGCCAATGAAAACGTCTATTGCTGATGCTATTGCTACAACCAGAACCTGTGACCAAATGCAATATACATGTTAAGTATTCAGACATCTGACAGACAAAAACTTTGAAAATGATAAAGTATGAGTATTGTAGCGTTTTATTAGATGTTAAATAGTAGTAAAAGAGTAGAATTTGACTTCCTTTGTTTTTCATAAACACATTTCCACATAAGAGTTAAAATAGTACCCTACAATGTTATCCTTTTGATAGAGCAGCTAAAATATTAGAATCAGAATAATGTTACAGCCATTGAAAGTGACAGAAGTCACAAATTAGGAATATGCCTTTGCTCAAGCTGCAGCCGAGCTTTTGAGTTAAAAAATAGAGTAAAAATAGGAATAGATAAATGCATCAACCATAGATGCTTTCAAAAATAGAGATTATTTGTAGCCAGTGCTAATATCAAATGGTAAAGGGACCATTTCACAAGCATTTACTTCAAAAGTAGATAAAGTTAATTACAGTTTATGTACAGTTTTATTAGATACTTGCCAAATTCACTTGTGTTCAAACATGAGTGAATGTTGACTATGCAAAAAGTCCATATGAGTGTAGCCTAGATCAATGAGATAGATTAGCACCAACAGAGATTCAAAAGCATTTAAAAGCATTTTGATGTATTTGTGTATAGCACAAAAACACAATAGTAGATATTTAGATATTGAGAAGTTTCCAGCACAAACACCATTGTAGAACATTGACCCCAACCCCAAACCTGCTCAAATAGATTAGCTCTTATAAAAAGTAATAAATCACTGACCACTATAGAAGTGTAAATGTTGACCATTTGCCTTACTGTGTTCACAGTTTTATTCCTGAGAATGAGAGTAGACATGGAGCAAAATCCCACTGATAATATGCCACTGATAATGAGAGTGTAAAACTACAGAGAGATTTATTAGATTAAAATGTATGTTTAAGAATATGGCTCAATAGAAGCAAATATGCAAACATATTTGTAAATAGATTAGAATAGTTTTAAACTATAGTGATAGTGAAAGTAAAGTACACAGTCTAAGATTGAAAAGTGAAAATAATACAGTGAAATAAGATTGAGTGTAGTGTAAACAATCAGCATTAGAATAAAAGTATAGAGTAATAAAAGTGAAATTAGCTTCAAAATTGAGACTCAGCTCGTTTTTGTCTGTGTTTTGACTGAATCTGCTGAGTTCTTGTGTGTCCAATAGTTTTTGTTTGTTTTTAGTTTTGTTGGTTTTTATTTTTGATTTGTTTTTTGTTTGTTTATTTACTTTGTTTTTGTTTGTTTTGTGTTTTCCCAGGATAGAGGATAAAATCCACTGATATTGATTTGATGATTATGAGTTTAATGCATACATTTTCTTTGTTTTTTAATAATTTTGTAAAGTTTTTTTTTTTTAGAATTTTTTTCTTTTTCCACTTTATTGATTGATCGATTTGAATGATCACATGTGATTATGTGATCAAAGGGGAGGGTGTTAGTATTAGATAGCAATATGGCCTACGTGCAGGACTGTACAAGGACTCTACAAGGACTCCATGTTATGACTATGATGTGACTGTCTCTTTGTGACACGTATGTCTTTCGATGTGTGACGTGACAATGACTATATAAACTGTGTACTGCCTTTATTCTGTCTGAGGAAAAGAAACAGAGTAAACCAGTGGAATTTGAGAGAAACTTAAATAAACTTCCAGAGTTTGGCACACCACGATCTGTCTCTGTCTGCTTAAATCCTAACACAATTTTTGCCTTTTTTGTCATTTTTTTGCTATGTTTTGCGACGCTATTCTGGTGGGGGTTTGGGGTTATGGATGAAAGGTGTGGATCATTAGGTCAATAATAGCACTTTAATTCATGGCCCGAGGATAAATAAGGACATTAGAATGAGGGGATGTTGGAAGCACCAGACTGAACCAGGGGATGGCCGTGGGCAAGAACAAACACACTTCTGTCATAAATAAATAAATATGGGGCTCCACCTACACTCACCTTTTTATCCTGAAAGGCTATCTCAATCTGGTTGAACAGAAAGAATCCTTGTTAACAAAGATTTGGTAAAGGAAAGCAGTTCTAAAAAAATATAACATACCTTTTTCACTGTGTCATCATTCTTTGAAATAGAAAGTTAAAAAGAAAGGAGGATTTATATAATATATTTTGACACTGAACCTTAAGACTAAAGATGGTTTCAAATAAGTGACCATAAATCTAGCACCCACCTTTTCTTCATCCGACTTTTTTTGTAAAGGAAAGAAAAGTAGCATAGTCATGATTTCTATGACTGATGTACATTTGTGCTTGAAAGATCACACACTCAGCCAAAATTCATAGTTTTGGTCCATGTTTTGGCGATTTAGTTATACAGTTTTAGTTTTACAGACAACATTTACCCAAAGCATTTTATAATTGTTGAGATTTCAGATATAATTCCATTCTCTCCACACACTGTGATGACGGAAGCGAGACGCGGGACACACTGGCAATACAATAGCTAACTTGAATTCATTGTTAATTTTCAGTGGTGTTTGAAATCATATTGTCATTGAGCTGCTCTGGGGAGATCTTAAAACTGCAGTTAATGCCAGGCGGTCCAGGAAATTACAGGAATCTGTTATAGGGATATGCATACCGTTGAGAATTGGCAAATGGAGACTTTCTGTTCTTGTTATAATTTGAACTTTGCTGAACCTTTTAGACAATAAAATGAAAATCTTTTAACTCAAAAATATAATTTTTTTATGGGAGGGTTTATACAAGTTCTTGTGATATAGTTTAAAATATTTTGGATTAAAAATGCTCAAGAAATGTATCATTGTGTCCGGTTTATGTGATATTATTTTAATCTAGTATCAATCTTTTCTTGGAGGAGTTTACTATTCAGTGTAAGTCAATAGGAGCCAGAACGAATTAGAGCAAAACTTTACCCATGAGCATTTCCCTATTGGGTTTCATTGAGCTAGTGAGTTAGCATTGTCCATCTGTATACAGTCTACGGTTCTCATTCATAATCTCGGAAATATGGCCTCTTTTGCGTTTGAAATTTCTGCCTGGGTGTGTAAACTTTCAAGCACAACTGTATGTTCATAAATGTAATGGAAAGTAGTGAAAACACACATGTTATGATTATTTTTTAGGAATGGAAAAAGGGTGTCGGTATAAGATCAACCACAACAACCACACCACTATTTTGAGGAATTGAGGAACAAGGGGAAAACTTTCTGATGTGTTCAACAAACCTCAACTTCTAAAATGAGTTCGTCATTGACCTCTTCTTCGCTTTCATCAGACTAATAGAATAAAAACATCTGTTGCTATAATGCATTTAAATACAACAAATACTCTTCAAAGTAAAACAAATATGCAGTCATGTTGTTGAACAAAGCGTGCATATTCAAAAAACTTGCCTTCAAATTTAGAGTTTTACCGTTGCGCTAGAAAAAGAAAAAAATAAGAAAAAATACATTGCTGTTGTCAAAGTAAACGTTTGCCATGGGAATGATTGAGGGACCATTTTTATACAAAACTTAACCACCACAAGGTCAGCTCAGGAAAAAGGAGGTTGAAATGCAGTATGTGGTGTCGCTTGTGTTAGACAGTTATCAAAAACACCATGAGACAAGAGAACAATGGTGAAATTTACGAAAACCACAAATGTATACAGAATTCCCGTTTTAGTTTGAGCTATACTTAAAGCTGGGGTAAGTAACTTTTCAACCACACAAATGCACTTATGTCATAAAAGCCATCAAACTAGTTCATGGCTCTTCCGTTTGATTCATATAACTATTTCACGTGTGTGTATTTTTGGTCTCTGTCTGAAAAAAGTTGATCTAATGATATGACAGGAAAGTGGGAAAGTCAAAAAGAGAGGACCATTCTCACTCAGCCAATCAGATCGCAGTATGCAACAGATAACATGTTTTCATAGGCAGCATTGTGTTGTTGTTTGATTTGTGCACAATTTATCAGGCTCTTTCAAAACATCATATTTGTGAATAAAAATATATGTAAGCAGTTGTTTGAGGCCTATAAGGTCCTGAGACAAAGAGTGTAAAGACGCTTGTACCGCTTAATTACCAATAGCACTTTGGTGAATAAGTAGCTCCTTTTAGCCTTGTTTTAGCTTCTTTACACTCTTTGTCTCATTAAAAGCATGCTATAAGCCTTGAATACAAATATAAGTTAGTCACCACAGCTTTAACAAGATGTAAATGGTGGTATCTGTAATGTTCCATTGCCACATCTCACCGTTTGTCAGAAGTTGAATTTTTTGTTGAACAAAATTCTATTATATCATTCTAGTAGACAAGGTCGAACTACAATCTACAACTTGGGATCATCTAAGACGGCACAGTCTAATAAATATGTTAATTATTTTAAAATATCATTCAAACAGAGCAAATTGTGCTTGTTTGCTAAAAGCGCTTCTATTTAATGCACTCTTTATGCAACAAATTACCAATGGTTTTGCGTTTCCTTCTTCCTCCTCTGTCACAAGCTGTTGTCCCTCCCACAGAAACACATTATATATATAAAATACAATTCATATAGACTATCTACAAACTAGATTTTCTTTAATACCAACCTCCTCCTCGGCTTCATCTTTCTCTTCCACTTCCAAATCAGATTGCTTTTATCATAACATAAAAATAATAGTTTACTGTAATTAAAATGGTCGCTATTCTAAAATGTCTACTCTACTAATCAATCTAAAAGCTCTGTCAATGGTTTGCTCACTGAGAGGCTAATAGATGTGTCTCGCAAATCTATTATGAGCTAATTCTCTAAAGAGTATTGATCTAAGGGGGGAGTTTTGTGGCTCAGTAATTGGCCGGTGAGAGATGGGAGCACACCTACTATCCAAGGCGTTTCAAAGTCAAACACTTCTGATTAACACTGTACATACCAGCGCCTCCTGTGTCGCAACCTTACAGGAAAACACAAGAATTTCTCTGGTTAAAACTCTGTATCAGTAATATTTTTTTAGTGGAAACAGAAATAAAAGGGCCATATATAAACACAATAAGACATTTCTAGAGAATGGTAGTTTACGATATATCTGGCTGCAACTAGCCTCTAAGGAAGGGGTCTCCAACCTTTTTCAATCAGAGAGCTACTTATATGAAACAGAAGAGTCAGAGAGCTACTTCCTTTTGCAGTCATAATAAAAAAAATGTAATAACTAGAACAAAACATGGAAAAGACATGTAAACTACAGCATAATACTGTATAACCCTATATTTACACTTACAATACATATGTAATGACCCAAAAGTGAATCATTCAAGATCATGTGTTGAATTATAAACTTAAAGGAAAAGCATTATGATCAATTATCATTAACTTTGATGAATGCATTAGATTTATTATGTTACTACAGAATACAACCCAAGCCTTGGTTGCCAATGTCTTGCCTGTGACTGTGTGTAAAGGACTCACACATTCATCTTCTTCTGCTGTTATAGGGTTTAGGAAACTTTAGGTAGTGTTGGTATGAGATTGGTGTTCGGCATTCTGATTGGATTCTCCCAGAAACCAAAACATTCAATAGTATCATGAATAATGTGGACATCAGCCATTTTGAAACCAAGGCCAAATACTGTATGGTTTGCAAGTAAGACAAGGGGACCTTTATTCGTCCCACAGTGAGAACATTTTTGTATTTTTTGAATTTTAAATTTGTATTTCTTGTCTCTATTGCAGTCCTGTGTCTTTACCTGTTTAGCCCCCATCGACTCGAACATTTTCTCCAGTTGGATTCTTAACTGCTGCACATTATTCATCAGGACACAAGGCTGAAATACATAAACAAAACAGGATTATGATGTGATTTTAGGTTTTAGAAGTCTGCCACCTGCTTGTCTTGGCATTTGTTACCAAATTATTTATAATTATGAATTATCCTTGTCCAGTCATGTTGGTTTGCCTGGACCAGTTTTAGTTTTTACAATTGGGTCTGCTATTGCCTAAAAACATACAGTTGATATCTATGTGGACACAAGCAGGAAGTAGACCCTTCACCAGAATAGTTACAATTTAGTTTACAAATACTTACAATCTTCTCTTTATCAATGTAAGAGGTGAAACTTTTGGTCAGGAGGGCACTGTACTGCAGCAGCACTTTGGAAATAGTCTGCAGAGAATGCAAAATACATGTTATTGGTTGGCACGAGTCCAGGTGTGGCAAACCAATCAGGAGACCAAGAGCCACAATTGTCAGTGTTTCCCTCTGTGCTAATAACAGGGCTCTGGGACTCCCTTCAGTAAACGCTATAAATAATATTCTGTTTTTCTGTTTCTAATCTGAATGGTCTAATTCTGTTTTTGCTACAATTTGCTAGGTTATTGTTCTACCTTCTGAGTCAGGGCCGTTGGGTAACTCCTTTGTGTTATATTCACACGAAAAAGGCCCACAATCGGTTTCACCACCCTTGTTTTCCATCCCGTTCCCATTTGAACAATTGTATAACTACTACATTTACCTTTGAAAAGCGCCTGCAGTACTGGGCCATGACTTTGGGGTCCGGACACTCCAGTTTCTTGATGATCTCAAAGCTTTGGTTGAGCTGGGTGAATATGTCGACCACGGAGCAGGAGAACAGGGCGTGCTCTGAAGTCTGTTGGAACTGAACCATATATGTTTATTATATTTCAGCAACAAATATAGATGCTTTTATCACATAAATTATCAAATGCACACTCCAAATAACATTACAAAATATGATATGACCCCCTCAACCCTAACCCTAACCCTCACAACAGTTTTCGAATAAAAGGAAGGCGGGCTGAATTGTTGTAGTAAGTAGTAGTAAGCTTTATTTATATACCGCCTTTTTCACTGCACATCGGAGTCTCAAAGCGGTTTACAATTGTTGGGTGGGGGTGCCAGTACAGGAGGCACATGCCAGACCTATTGTACATATTTTTAGTGGTAGGGGAAACCGGAGCACCCGGAGGAAACCTACGCAGACACGGGGAGAACATGCAAACTCCACTCAGAAAGGCCCTGGTCCAACCGGGATTCGAACCCAGGACCTTCTTGCTATCCACTCAGCCACCGTGCCACCCACCGTTGTTCGCAACATTTTTACTTTCACAGTACTCTCTTGTTAGGGCTACAAAATGCATACAATACACCAAATGATAAAACAGTATTTTGGTGGTGTAAATTCTCTTACTCCATCTTTTTTGTCCCTCTCCAGAGCTCCGTGCATGAACTCCAAAGACACGTCCTCGTTCTCGTCCAGCCACTGCAGCACAAACTGGACGAACCATCTGAAAAAAGTTCATTATAACTGTTATGTTTAGGTCCATTATTAGTGGTAAGTTAAAGAAGTGCACGTTTTATTTCACATGGACTCACGAAGGGTAGTCCGGAACGGCGGCCTTGAAGTTTGCGAGCTCTTTGACGTATTCGTTGTAGAGCCACTTGACTTTGAAGTGGAGGTTCATGTAGTCGGTGCTTTTACACAGACGATGCTTCTCGTGTTCTGAGAAAATGGACAAAAACATGCAGCCTTTCAACACAAGATACAGAGGGTCCTTCATGGGTCTTACCACTATAGCCTGCTCTTTTTTGAGTGGTTCCTTGCCGATGCAGCACGGTCTATAAGGACAGTCCGGGACATTGAAGGAAATGTATGGACAGTAGTCATACCACTCCCTATTTGTTTACTATTATTGTATGTGTGTATTGTAATGTGTTCAAACGGTTTGATTCTCTGGTCTGTTGTTTTGGTTTTTTCTTCTTTGGTTGTAAAGAAAGTACAGCTACATAAAATATAGTATGAAAGAGAGGCCAAAATGAAAGCCAACTCAGATCTTGACCTGTGTGTTTGTGCCATGTTTATTACTAAAAATATATATACATTTCAGTGTAAATTACGAATCTCTAGACGTGACTGAATATTATTTGTACACATTTGTTTGGGCAACACGTGCACTTAAGAAGCACTCTCGCCTCAGGGTCTTTCTGTGTGGTGGTTGCTGTCAATATTTAACAAATTGTGGTACAGTGAACTACTCAAAAAGAGGAAGAATCTCTCCACTCACTTACGTAGTACTTATTTTAAAGCCATTTTTTACCTAACTTAAAAAATAAGCTACGTAATACAATATGTCTTGCTAGTTACTCATTAGCTAAACAGTTTTGCTCTATCACTGTTTAAACATGCATATATTTTTGGCCTCTGTCAGCTTTTTCGGACAGATAATTGAAAAGAGGACCCACAGTGTCGAATAGTGACTCACAGGGACTCTTTCCTCTGCAAAAGATAACATGTTTTTTTAATGAGATGAGGACAGCATGTAGTGGTCTGAAACATTTATTTTTATTTTCTTTTATGACAGAAAAGTTAGGTTTAAGGACAATGAACGCTTTAGCCCTCGAAGCAGCAGAATCTCTACATTAATTAATGGCTTACATAGCTTCCCACAAACATTTCCCTAGATTTACCGTCAACATAATGTTCTTTAACGTCTTGATCATTTTGATTTTAGCATTCCTCAACTTTATCCTCAGTCGTGATAAAGTTTCCTCTCAGATTTTCGATTAATTGGTTAATTTCTCGTTATCGATCCCCTGCTCTAGAAAGAATACCTGGAAGAGAGTAATGAGGTGACCAGTATTTATTCAGTGGTGACAGTCCGTGAAGAGATCTTGCTGAGGACAAGGTCTGAATGAAAGCTCTAAACAACGGCTGTAGAAAAGGAGCTCCAGGGAGACATAAGCAGCTTTCAACGTCTGCACTAGAATTAGCAATTCCTTTCCCCAAAAGAGGAACTAGTCAGGTACTAACATAGTTTATTGTCATTCATAAAGATTGCTAACAACTTCATTAGGCAAGAGAGAGTGATCTATGAGTAAAAAACATTCCAATCAAATCATGAGGTTGCGATGTATTGTGCGTTAAGTTTAGACATTACATGGCCAGAGATAATAGCACACTGCACATTCTCTGTTTTCGTGGTTGTAATCAGAAAAACATGAAATTCAATGGTCTTCATTGTATGTTTTAATAGAAATAATAGTTTGGCGATGGATCTAGGATACAAGGGCGAGATGCTTTTCCTTTTGCAGAAACTAAATGTTCTTAACTCTAGAAATCAACAGATAGACCAAATCAAGTACAACCAGTAGAATTTACCCCAACTCTACTCCAGTCAAATTGAATTCAAATTTCAACAATAATCAGTGGCAAAGACTCCTAACAAATGTATTTTCACTTTAGCAGAAGACTTTCTGAATGCAAGTCTCTTTATTCTACAGTGGAAGTAATGTGTACTTCTGTATTAGACAATCATTTAGACAGCAATGACAGAAGCCAGATGCCGAAAATCACCATCCATTCAATCTCTCATTACATTCAGACCTATTGTACGTGTTTTAGTGGAAACAGTAAGGCCTGTTTCCACTGCGCCACCAGCCGTAATTAAATCAAGCTCTGCCTTAAAGTTAAGCTCTGTCATAAAACCTCTTCCCAACATATTTTAAATTGTTCATAGTTCAATAGCAATTATTCACTACATTAGTTGACAACTATTTGCAATTAATCAATTTACTTGGGGAGATGAATAATTGGTGAGTGTAATTTTGTTGTAAATACGTACCTTCCATGGCATACATCATGTCCTGGGCAAACAGCGTCCACATCACTTCAGCAGAAACTTTCCCCACATTCAGTTCTTGTGGAAACCTTTAACAGAGATAGTTCAATTCAATCATCATCATCATCATCATAATAATTATTAATATTTATATATGTTAACAATAATACATTATACAATTTTTTGTTTTGTTTGCAAAGGACTTTTGCAAACAAAGGAATTTGCGAATTATGGCCACTAAAATTGCAATTTCATTTTGATAGTAATTATTCCTGCAGCTCTATTGTCCACCGTTAGATATAGTTGGACAAAACCAGTTTAACACCGTTCTATTTTTCTCATACACATGGCTTTCCTCACTGGTTTAGAACAGGCGTGTAGGCATTTCTGTCCTCTTCAATGATGGACACAATCAGCATGATGAGTTTTGGCCAAAAGTCCAGATTCTTGATGCTTGGTCCTTGCTCTTCCAAAGGTAAATCATCTTTGTTCTGAATAAAACAACATTATAATTAGTATTTCTAGTGGCTGCCTGCTTCCAGACTCACTGTGGATAACTTACAGGGTCCGTGGGTTGGTACTGACGGTTGTACAGTTCATGGCAGTTGTTGAAGATGTAGTCGTAGGTTGAGTTTAAACAGGCTTTCACACAATCTCTCACCACTTGACTGGCTCTGGGTGGAGACTGCAATTCTTGAACCTAGGAATGTACATGGAATAGTTCAGATCACCGCTCACCCAGCTGTGTTATTCTTATTTGTATTATATTGTCATTGTGATGCAAGTTTAAGCTCTGTAGGTCTGAGCCTGTGGTCATTTTGTACTTACTCTTGGACAAAACCTAAACTAGACCAAAAGTAAGGAAGCCGTATCATTGCAGACTGATAGAATAATTCCTATTGTTAATTGTGTCCTGGGTTCAATGTGTAGAGCTGTAAAATTAATTATATGGTTTTCTTTCTGAAGAAAATAGGCTTTAAGATTAAGTATAACATTGATTTTTCTGTTTGATCCACACTCTTCTCTTATAATGTATTTTACTCAAGGCGTCGTCTGCTCAAAGTATGTTTGAGGGGAGAGGGTGAGACACTAAGCTGGTGTGTTTTTATGAAGTGCAGCTGCTTACCTTCATTCTAAAGAAAGTGATGCTTGTTAAAAGATCTACTGTAGATTTCAAGTCCTGTAGACGGTCTTTATCACTCGCCGGGAAGTGATTCTAGAGAAATAGATAAAACACAATTATAGTATGGCAGAGATGCTTCCATTAGAAAATGAACAAAAATAAAGTAAGTAAGTAAGTAAGTAATGTTTATTTATCTAGCGCATTTTACAGACCAAGGTCACCCAAAGCGCTTTACAATGTTCAGAGTTCAGATATTGTTCCAATCCTTCCACACACGGTGATGTCGGAAGCGCGTTGCCGAACACACTGGACCCTCAGTCCCCAATCAACACCATCCATTCACTCTCTCATTTACATTCATACCTATTGTGCATGTTTTTAGTGGTAGGGGAAACCGGAGCACCCGGAGGAAACCTACGCAGACACGGGGAGAATATGCAAACTCCACTCAGAAAGGCCCTGTTCCTACCGGGATTCGAACCCAGGACCTTCTTGCTGAGAAGCGAGAGTGCTATCCACTCATCCACTGTGTTCAAATCTCAAAAAGTAATTATAATGAAAAGCTAAGAACTTTTTCATCCAATTCATGTTTGAGATTTCACATAATATACAACAATGCATTCTCTTCACCTAAAGCTGAGGTACCTAACTTTTCGAACTGTGTAATACCATCCATCCAACTAGTGCCTGGCTCGAAATCACATGCAAGTATTAAAGTTATATACCCAAGCTTTAATTTGAACAACTTACCCTAAATGTTGAAAGATCAATCCGTAAAGAGTTGTGTAACTGGTCCAGGAGCTTCACAAATCGTTCTTTCTGCAAATTAACAGAAGAATAATCATAGTAGACTGTGCAGGACAATAATCTCTAGTAATTTTTTATCCTAATAATGTAGATTTTTTAATGCACAAACCCCAAAATTAGAGGCTGCAAAGCGGTCGGAGGCAGAGACGTTGGTGGAGGCAGTGGTGTGGGCGTAAAATGCGTTGATGTTTGCCAGTAGAGTGCTCATCACAGCAGGGACTCCAGGGCACATGTATTTAGACGAGAGACAAGCAAAATGTCTGCAAAAAGAAGTCACAGTTTAACCAAGTTCTTCACTCAATAAATATAATAATCATTTGTGAGGATATTTACATTAAAGCTGGGTTTCAAGCTAGTTTCAAACCACAAGCTAAATAAATGTATCTTGTCTTTCTCTAGTTTTCACATGCATGCTTTTTTGCTCAAAGGGTTTTTTAGAGAGTGAATAACAGGAAAGACCTCACTTAGCCCAGCAGCCCAAAGGGTCAAACTCACAGGGCTGTTTCTTACAAGTATGCATGTTTTCTAATGAGATGAACCAAGTTGGAAACAAACATGTGATTGACAATTAAAAACTTATAGAAGACAAATATGATGTATTATTTTGAGACTTTACTTTGTAATTTCATGTTTTCGAATGTGGAATAATATCTCTTCGAGTGGAAGACGGAAACAAGTATCAAGAGTAAACATGATTTTTTGCCTGTAACTTCCTATGCTACCACCAGAGGGCAGAGTTGAATGTTTCCTTTGTTTAGTCAACATTTGAAAATTACCAGCTGAAAGTTTTCCAATAGAGAATAGAGTAGAGAACGTCATTTCACTTGAGAAATAGCCAATTCCAAATTATGTACAATACTTTTTATCTTACAAAGGCAGAAAACCCTTTCTGTGATGAGCGTGATAGATATTGGGATCAGCTTTTAGACAGAGGGGTGGAGTAACTTTTGTAACTGTTTGTGCAATAAAAAATAAAAATGACAATTGTAAACCGCTTTGTGACTCTGGTCTGTGAAAGGCGGTATATAAATAAAGATTACTTACTACTTACTTACTATAAATTGCTTGTAACAGTGTGCATGGATATCAAAACAACACCATTGGTTTTGATGAATATGTTGTAACATGGTTTAAATTAACATGGTCCATTGTTAATAGAATGTCTCCTTTAAAAAGCAGCAAAGCTTGATTAGGACAAAAATCTTGATAACCACCAGAAAGCTCTGTTTGTATTTCTAACGGCAGTGAAAAGGTGCAGCGGTTCTATCTGCAGTAGAAGTCCCTGTAATGTTGGGGCTTGGTGCCACGGCGACCACACGTGAGCAGCCTCTGTCATAACGGCCTCTCTGATGTGAGGTCATTTCATCAGGTGCTGAGTTATGGCGCACGTTTATGGCTGAGGGATGGCTCATTGGAGTGTGCTTTGAGAGAGTGATGGGCTGAGCTAACAGGCATATGTAGAGAGCACGACACTTTACTGAGACCAATCCATCGGCAGGGCGTTCATACAGGCACTGTTGTTGAGCCAGGAGTGACTAAATGCAAGATTAGGTCAATAATATTAGATTATTTTAAGTTTATGAAACTACTGTTGACAATGAATGTATCAATTCAATAAACTGTTACTAAGCATATTAAAACAACATGTTTTATATTTTGTTTTTATGTTATGTTTTTATATGTTACCAAATTGTCTTGACTCAATGAAAAAGCTGATCTGAAGATATAACAACAAACATGAATGTGAAAACAAGTGGCAGTACAAGCTCTTTTAGTCCAGGTGTAATTATATAAACCGGGTTATAAGTGCGAAGTACTTTGGGTGCAGATATAAAAATGTATATCTATATCTTTTTACTTTGTATATTCATGTTTTAGAATGTGAAACATTGTAAGTAGAAATTATGGTGAAATAAGCATGAAGGGTAAAATACTTTCTGCTTGTTCCTCTCTATGCTAAAAATAAGCTTAACATTTGTTTTTGGGGTTCTAAATTTGAAAATTACCAGCTGCAAACACAGACGTGTGATCGAATACTTTCTGAAGACATTTTTTTCAAATTATTGTACGGATAATAAGAAAACAAGTGTACTACTATGATGTCATAGTGATACAATGGCATGATACTAAGCTTGGCCTGGGAGCTTGTGGGTTCTGTGCAGTATCTTTGCTGTTCCTAGCACTGCACATTTCTGGACCGAGATTTCCGAGGTTGTTCCAAGGATCCGCTGTAACTACTCCTCCAGCTTTGGAGTCACTGCCCCTCACCGGGTCTCTCTGCTCCTCTCCAGCTCCTCTCTGAGCTCTCAGAAATACCTCAAAGTATTTCTCAAGCTTATCATTATTTTGCCCACCCTTGGATCTACTTTTCTGATCTTGTGGGATCTACATTAAAAAAAATCTGTCATTCAAGTTAAATAAAATAGCAAACTGAAAATTAAACTAATGTGAATATGGGACCAAAAAGATCTGTCATCCATCAGTACAAGAACCATGTTTGATTGCTTTGGTGGATTTAAGTTAAGTTGCAATAAAACAATAAGCACTTTGACACGTCTCACTCACGTCATGGCCTGGTAGATCGACTCAATTCCATAGCGCATCGCAAACTCATCCACTATCTCCTGAGCCACGTCATCAAAGTAAACTTTCCACGTGTCGTCTGTCCGGGCTTCTGGGATTCTCACCACGCCTTGGCCCAACACATCAGTGGAATAGTGAAACAGATTCTGTTAAGAAAGGACAAAAACAGACAAACAATATTGGTATTAATTACATTGAATCTTATGAGAATAATAAAAGATGCCTGTACCTCATGCAAACAGGTGTACTGGATGTGATACGCAGCAACTTTCTCCTCTCCCTTGATTTCCACATTAATTTGGAGTCTGATGGCTCCTGACACAGCTGACTTGTCGGTTCTCTTCTCTGAAGAAACAACAAAACAGACAAAAATTATCTCCTTGAGAGTGTCATTTCACATCTTCTTGTTGTGACATGTCATTGTAGCAAACATCTGTATGTAATATTTGGTTCAGGTGATCATAGAGACGACTTGTCATAAAACCTCTTCTCAGCATTTGCAAGCCTACAGTATGTAGGGTTCTGAAGAAGATTGACAAAATACTAAATTAGCGCACAGTTGTCAGACATTAGTTGTGATTAACTTGTTAATCCAATGGTAATGTGCATTTCTACTGTTGTCTCATTTATGTTGCAGCGGTCATGAGCGTACAGCCTCAAATGTTGGACTTAAAAGAAACTGTATTTAACATGCACTATTATTGATCTAATACAATCATTACAATTATATTCCAACTTTTGATTTTTGTTGCAAGAATCTTACAGCCTGTGACACAAGCTTCTAAACACTGATTATAGATGCAAACCACCCGCTGGAATTTTGTACAAACTCTGTGTATTATGTAAAACAACTTGTGTTTTAACTCTTAAGAACTGTGTGGTGATAATGTTTACTATGTGAATTTTGTTTAGAAAAAAGAAAAAGTATGGAGCCAAAACAACAAATTGATAACCCAAATGAGAGCCTCTTTCTGCTCTCTGACTGATATCGTAATATTTATCGAGATATTTTGGACATTATGTTAATGTTCTTTGTATTTTTAATAAAGAAAATCTCCACTCCAAGTTTTGTTCAGAATATAACTAAGGACACATACAAAATATGTTGATTTCAGTGAAAATATTACATTCTGCCCTTTCAACAATACATAAATCAATCAAAGTTCATTCATAAATGTCATGATTGCGACAACATACATTGATACTGTCCTTATGTGAGGCCAGTAAAAGTAGCCTGTTTAACATAGCACTAATAACAGAGCTCCATACTGTAGTGTGGCAGTTCTATTGTTGGGGCTGTGTTTTCTGCAGTGTGTGATGGCAGTCCACTTTAGTACCAGCTGATGGCACAGTGTGGATGTGCATGTGACCGCCCAATACATTTGAACCAGAGCTTATCTAGAGGAAAGCTGCCTGGCAACTCTACCCTACTATTTACCCTGACAGCACCCTCATTAGTGGTAATTTGTACATGTCGGCGAAGAGGTCGATTTCCATCTAAAGTGCTTCTACTTGATCATCAAACACAGAGGAATATGAACCAAGACGTAAGTACAAAATGATAATGCAATGTGATTTACAGTGAACTCAGTGGTGGGACTTCTAATGAATCTAAGCAGATGCAGATTCTTATGAGCACAGCGTTAAACAGAGCACCTCATGTCTTGCACATTTTAAACAAGTGAAGAAGATATATGACCACATTTATGTTCAGTGTCATTGCCACTGCTTTGAGATATTTAGTGCTTCAACAATGATGTCAACGTAAGCACTTTAATCAAGATGCTTTGTGCGTCGGAAGAAACATCAGTTAATAGTTTAGAATGATTTAAGTCATTATATAAAAACAATGTTTGGTCTGACTATAGAGAGAATATGCCTTGAATATATTTCCATGTTGCCATGTCCTCTTTATGTGTGTTTGTAATTGCCCCTGTTGTTTTATTACCATTGCTGTATCATGTCCTTACCATTGCTGGTAGTTACTGTTCTTTACCGTTGTTGGTATTTACTGTCCTTTGCCATTGCTGGTATCTCCCTCATGCAGTTGTTTTGCATCCTTGTAAAATGTATCTTGTCTGTATATGACCTTAAACCCATTAATTTTTAGTTTAAAACCTGAACAGTTGATTTAAATGTGTCATTCGCTGTGATTGTGTACTGGAGCAAATATGAAGCTCAATAATTAATATACTTTAAGATACCAGGGGTGGGATTAAACACGTTTTTTTCTTCTTCCCACTCTTTTTCGAGTATCTGCGAGTGTTTCTCTTGTGTATAAAATATGTATAATTTTGTATTATGTAAATGTAACTCAGGGTTATTTATGCCCAATTTTGATCATTTTGATATTCTACTTTTGTTTCTTGTACACTTATTTACTCGAAAGAAACAAACATGATGAATGGGCACTCTACCACACAAGGTCTTCCAGATATTGTGAGTTTTATCAAAATGCTATAGCTCAAACACTAAACATACATTATCTATATTCCTAATGGGTGCATTCACTTGCCCTATTGTGGTTATGATACGTGTTATTTTTAATTGAGATTGAGAAGTTATTTAGTCAATTTCTCATTCTTTGTCTCATTTAAATACTTTGCTCTACAACGTTTTCCTGTGTGACTTAAAGGAAACATATTATTCAAAACCATAATAATTATCATATGAGAATTCAGTATTTAGCCATAAACATAAAAAAGGTCCCATATCAATAACATCAATAAAGTGCCATTTGGCTATTTCTTCATACTGCCCAAAGTGGATATTTCATCGATTTACAAAATTACAACAAAACAAATTTGCAATCGCACATGACTGTGTTTGCAGATGGTATTTTTCAAAATTTTAATACAAACTAAACAAATTCTACTCCTCCGTTTTGTGGTAAAATAGAGTTACAGAGAGGAAGCATTTTGTATCTCCCAAACTTATTTCACCAAGTTTTCTACTTAACACATTCTTAAACATGAATACACAAAGTAAATAGTGTCATTATCATGTTTGGCTAAAAATAATGCATAGGATTTCCTCTTTAACTGTTTTGGATGTGGCCCTATCCAAAATATTGTATTCAAAACTAAGAGGTGACAATGGGTGGATTAGTGTTTGGGCTGTACAGTAGGTATACACAACACCCCTTTACGTGACTGTAGGCAACGTACTGTACTAAAAAGCTCCTTAAAATCAGATTAAACAGAAGAACATTACTAACCTAGGTTGTACCAGACGTCCATTTCTCCGCTGAGTGTGCGGACTTCGATGATGCTTTGACCAAGGAAGTCATCAGATTCCCGTTTGAGACGCTGCTTCACTCTGGACTTAATGTCATCATCTTCGTCCCACACCCGCACTTTGATTCGATCTGAAGAATTGTGGCACTCGCTAGAATACAAATATGTGACATTGTAATCAAATACTTCGACACGGTTACGAGCAAAAGTGCAAAAACGCTACTAACAAGTGAAATTTCTCGTCCCAAATGGGATTGAGATTGCCATAGATGGTCTTTGTTCTCTTTTTGGTTTTTCCAACTTGTACAGTAACGTATGGGTCACTGGATCCTGTTTTGTCCTTAGCTTGAAGTCCCTGAGCACAAACAACTAAAGGAAAAAAAACAAAAAAAAACAAGATGGTATCAAAAATTGCACAAATACAGGGTAAAGTTAGAACAGAAACGGGCATATGATCAACTCAGCACAAATAATGTTGACAATTGGCTGCTAGCTTGTAAAAACAAATTACTGTAAACAAAGGCTTGGCATATGTCACATTGCGTGTAATGAGTCTATATCATACATGGGTTTCAAAATTTAGGTAAAAATCACAGAAAATGTGAACAATATTCTGAGATTCACTTGTTATTGACTATAGCTTGTCTGTTATTGATTTGCATTTACCTGTAATGGTGATTTTAGCAGACCACTTGGACGTTCCATCCAGTACACTTTGTTTAATGGTCTTCATTTGCTGCGCGTGAAGAGTTTTGGTAATGACAAACACTTCTCGTATGAGTTCAAATATCTCTGGCTTGTTCCTCTCTCTGATTTTCATTCTGTCCTTCATGGCCATTATAATATTTTGAGTCCGATCTTCAGCTCCATGTTTTGAACTCTTTTCCGCAGCCCCTGCCGAAGAGTATTACAACATTAGTAAAAGTGTAAAGAATGTAAGTGTCTTAATGAATTGGAGAAAAACTTACTTTGCAGACAGTCAGCATTTAACAATTCTTGGCACTTCTCATGGCACTTGACTCCGCACTCTGAGCATCTCATGCCTTGGCGGGCAATACCCCACAGCAGACCCTCACATTCATAGCAGTATGTGGGAGTTGTAGCCGTCCAGACTTCAAAGTTGTGTGGTGTTGTAAAAGATATGGGATAGATGAGAGCCTGTAGCGTCTTCTTGTACACATTGTTTTTCTAGATACATACAAAACAAACACAACAACATCATATTGTAGTGTATGAATAGTGTAATTACAAAGCACTAGTGAAAATCCAATCCTCCACCTAATCCAATTTAATTCATTTGATAAAGACACATGAACACTTCTGCCAGAAAATTTAGGTGTGAAAAACCAGTGCGGTTGAGCGGGCAAGTTAACATCCCAATCGGATCGGGTAGTGACGCCTTTGAGAGCACAGGGAAATGTATGTAATGTATGAAATATTCTGTACTGTACTTCCTTGCAGCACATGTTTTGTTATTTGTTATTGGGCAAAAACAATACTTAACAGGAATCCTGGTGCTGTTGAGAGTGCTGGGGAAATTCCGTGATTTATGCTGCAGCAGCGGAGCATGAGTGAAAATACAATGCCCAAAGTAAACATAATGTGTGAATACATTTCCCGACCTTGTTCTTATAATGTATGTATGATAGCAATTAAAATTATAAAGTTTAAGTAATAAGAGAATGTTACAAGGCGCCTATAAAAGCCTCCTCAGGTCTGGAGTCTTGAGTAGCTACTCCACAGGGGACACAGACAGGATCAAAACTTGGGGGGTTTGGAACATACTACATATTCTTATGCTTTGTAAACGTGCTCAGTGTTGTGACTTACCAGTTCCTCATCTTTAATCGATGACCGTGCAGCCATAGCAGATGCAATTCCTGCCTTCCTGGCTTGGACAAGGGACTGTATAGACAAGATAGTATTAAAGCAGAAAAAACTGGACTTTGGTTTGACCCACAACCAAAAGCTCTTTGTGTTATTACTCAGCCAGGTGTTAGTGAGATACAGGTCTGCCATTAGCAGTGTTAAAAAAACATGTTTGTGAACTTGTTAGTAACTATAGACAACTATTTTTTAGTTTTACCAGTAGGTCAGTAAATAGATTTAAAAAAAAGAAGAACCCATGACCGGAGGACCAAGAACCAAAAAGGACACATGCAAGTCGGAATCTCAGGTTTCTAAAAGGCTACGTTTTGTAGTTCAATGTAGCAAGCTATATTATTTAGAGTGAAGGTTAGTTTGACTACAATACTAATTACAAGGAAGTGGGGAGCTTGATTCTTTAAAACTTACCATAGCCTGACCAACGAGAGAGATTGCATTCAAAAGAGTTGTGGGGAATAGTTTGAGGTTTAAGAGAGGAGGGAGAAACAGATTAGATATCTGACTTTTGCTTTTTGAAACAACTGAATGGTTCCAATATTCATCAGATCTACAAATAATGTTTGTGATAAACATCCACCAATTAAGACAACATACAGTATCTCACACATGGCATTTACATGGAGCACAATAACACACAAAACAGATTTACACTGTGTGAAAAATAAACAAAAGGTACTGACCACGTCGCTGACCAGTGCGATCGGCTTCTTTTTGCGTAGATCTGGCATGCTATCGATGCCATAGAGGCCAGATTCAACACTAGTAATGAAAAAGCGTGAAAAAGAATGTTAAGACAACAAACTAATATCAACAATGAAATGAATGGCCTGACTTACCCTGGCTGAACCCACGCTTGTCTTGACTTGGGTTCATCCTCACGACTCTATGAATTCAAAGGCAATTATCTCACAATGTAATATACGCAATCATATAAAGATGTATACACCAAGGAATACGGGGGAAAGTAGGTTTCATTGAGTGGTAGAGTTTTACACCTCTGCTGTCAGCACATGCCTAACTAAAAACTGCTGACAATGATTGGCATAGTTTTTTTATGAAATTGCTAGCTTTATTAGTCGGTTTAGATTGAATGTAGTGATCATTGTCATTATCATATAATGGAAAAACTGTCTTTCAAGTGCATTTATGGAGCAACACAGACAAAGTTACTATTTAAAAAGACATACAAATTTAAAATAGGAATAGATAACCTGAAAATCGTCTCTCCAAATATCTGAAAATAACCAATACAGATCGGAATCAAAGCATAATCAAAAATACACAAACCGTAATAATTATCATAGGAGAGTTCAGTATGTAGCCATATCAAAAAAAGGCTTATAATAACTTTAAGGTCCCATATTATGCTTTTTGACTTTTCTATGCCTCCAAACATCAATAAAGTGCCATTTGGCTATTTTTTCATACACATGTCCAAAGTGTTAACATCATGTCAACTTGGAGAAAATGTGTTTTCGGGTGTCAATATGTGATGACACCATTTGGCCCGAAGATTAAGAAAGAGGCGAATGTGGCTGGACTTTTAAATTCGCAGTGATCTACCTCCGAAATCCGTGACAAATCAGTTTTTCTGCAGGGCAACATTTCACGAAATACTGGTAATAGAACTATGGTTACCATGAAACGACTTACTCAAAGGCTGATCTTGAAACCTGGTGTTATTCCCGCCAGAAAATACGCTAACAAGGAGCCGAGATCTGTAAGTACAGTGCAACTAACTCACTGTATACTACTGTTAACTAAATACTTAAAGAATCTGATTCTGGATCAACAACAAATGGTTCAAGGTGACGGGTCGCCATTGTTTGAAAACGTTAATTCTCAGGTCTGAAATGACGGTATGTACTGGAGAACAGTCCCACGCTGTGTGTTTACCTCCAAGTCAAGGTGAGGCTACATCAACCACTCCACAATTGAGGAGTCATCTCCATGCAAGAAAGGGCTATATTTCAGAGGTTTTCAGTGTAGTATGGTGTATCAGCCAAATTATCATCATATATGTACTTAGGATGGACTGTGAAGAATTAGGCATAGCAAAGTATGGGACCTTTAAGATCAAACCATAACTAAATAGAACTTGAATAGAAATGATAATAACAGAAAAAATAATAGCCAATTTTCAGTGTATTACATGTGGTGTTTTTAATTAATACTGATCTTTCCTACGATTACCAGAACATTCTAAGGTTTACCTATGTAAAACTCTTCTTGTGATTGGGATCCCTGTGATCCTTGAGAGCCATAGGACCCTTGAGATCCCTGGGACCCTTGGGTAGACCTGGACAGCCTATGTCGTATCAGCCTCTTCTCCCTCAGTATTCTTTGGAAATTTGCAATTCTTTCTCTGTGACTGGGATCTGTAGGCCTAAGAGATTGAGTCTCTTCAAGACTAGCGTTTTCACTAATTGGACTCAATTTCATTTCCTCAGAAGTCAGTGGATTCAGAATCATTGGACTGCCCTTAACAGCATTGGGCTCTTGATTGTGGTCATTTGCAGACACAGCAGTTGCACTGTCAGAGTTGTTGTCCTGTTGTGACGTCTCCATAGAATTCGATTCTGTAAGGCCGCAAGATGATACCCACCCTTCACTCTGGGATTCTGGAAACTCTTGTTCTTGGGACTCTGAGACACACACATTATATGCGGAAGTCTCACCCTCATCTGTTGACATTTCATGATATGATTCATTATGACAAACATCTTCTTTTACTTCATCTTTTAAGGTGACATCCTTTTCATTTTCTTGATCAGCTTCAATGCTACTAGACAAGACAGACACAGATTTGGCAACATCTGAACTTGACCCATCCAACTTAAAAGCTCCCTTTAATGCAGAATGAAACGTTAATACAGCCTTGGTAAAGGTAGCTACGTCAAAGCCTACTGTAGGGGACTTTGTAGACTGTTCTAAAAGGATTTCTGAAGATACCAGTGATAACGATTCTCCAGTTTCATCACGAGACAAGCTGGCATCAGTCCAGTCTCTGTCTAAACTGTCAGCTGATCCTAGATCAAGAGTGTCACCGGAAGATCGACAGTCATCACAGCGGGAGTGGGAATGTGTCTCTAAATATCCATCATCACAATCCGTCAAAAGCAAAGTAGAACAGCTTCTAGAGGGCCCACTGCCTATCTCATGTGGACATGCATCCGCTGTGTGGCAACCTGAGCTATGAGGGTATGAACAGTTGGCAGCACAGTCAAACTCTTGGTTGAGTTTGTCCCGTTGAATCCTTGGAGGTTCCCACTCCATCATACTTGAGCAGCTTGATGGAGAGTTGTAGTGTTGTCCAAAGAGTAAAGATAAATGCTCAGAGCTAGTATTTGAAGAGTGACCTGGAGAACTGCTTTGCGTCTCTCTGGTATATCGGTCCCAGACACTCAATTCCAACTTCTCTCTGCTGTCCACATTAGAAGAGCAGATGTCATCCTCAATCCACTGTTGTTGATCACGAGCACTATGCCAACTGTCATATTTAGTACTTGTTGGTGAAGTATTGTATGTGGATGAGGACTTGGCACTTTGGCAGTGTTGCTCATAATACAGTTCTTGAAAACAAGAGTTACCTTTTGATGGACTTGATATTTGTATATTTGTATGACCAATTTGTTGACGTTCGAGGTTCCGCTGAGATGGTGCATTTATGGGGAGGTAACATAATTCATCACCCCAGTTTTTGCAATCAAAAAGCGGACTTGAATACAGAGATGTAACTGCGTTTTGTCGGCCGAGCTGTGCTTGCCTTAGGTTTGGTATTTGAAAAACGGGGCTTGAAAGTGGGGTTGCCGCTGAAGCTCCACAGTACAGCTCACCGATTTCGCTAAGCACGGCATCAACGCAACATGAAACCTCATCAACAGAGCCCCGTACAGATGATAAGTAATCTCTTAGGTCTGAAATTTCTTCTTGAATCTTATTGATACCTTTTAGCTCTTTGAATATATGCTCTACAATATTAGTGGAACCCTGGTCTTCTTCCTCAGTTTTTATAGTTTCACTTGAATTAGTCGCAGCATCCTCTCCGACACCGCAATCATCCAAGCAATCTGAAGTTTTGTTTCCATGTAGGTTCGAATCAGATTTCTGTCTATGGTGAGAAAGTGATGATAGGTCATCAACAGAAAGTTCTTCTTGGCCTTGTAAGCATTTGTGAAGTTTTTTGCACAGAGTTTTTCCGACTTTGGGACTTTGTGATCCCCTTCTATCGTCTCTCTTTTTAGGTGATAAATGAGCAGCTTTCCTCGTGTTGAGCTCATCATGTCCACTGTGGTGATCTTTGGTAAACATCCTCTGCCAATGGATAAGCTTCTTGTCCTAAACAGTTATAATAATGTACAAATACAAACATGTTTGATTTTTGATACACATAAATAAACACAACAAAAAAGTTACTGTTTGTTCCTAACAAGCAGCTGCAGGGAGCTGTGTAATTGCAGAACTCAGTAATTACATGGTAACTCTTCACTGAGGCTTTCTCGCTGTAACAGCTGCACTTTCAATCTCTCAATACATCTAACACAATATTGGAATGGATTATTAGTTTTTTGTTTATGATATTTATTTGAAATCCAGATTGCATATGGCCCAAATAGATCTGAAGTGAAACCACTTTAGGATAACCCGGATCATATTTCCAAATAAAACTCTTAAATTTAGTTAGCACATGCATGCATAGTGTATGTATATGTGAAGTAAAATGTATTTACTATATTAGTTGATTTTTGAATAACCTTAATTATTGAATTCATCTGAAAATTGCTGCAGTTTTGTTTTGTCCTCTCAGTAAAAACATATCTATGCATAGCCTTGATTTTTAAAATACTGAATCTTGAGCTAGATACTAATAATCTTTTTATATTTAGGTCATAATAATTTCACTACTATTACAAAAACATAACATTTGTAAAAAAAAAAGGTCTTACCTCATAAGCAAAAAAATAAGTCAAATTAACCCAGGAATACTGTTTTGCAACTATTTTAAAAAATCCCAACGATAAGTGGCTTGGTGAAATGTAAACATTTCAGACAGAACACTACTGCACATGGATCCATATATCCAAGACTGAATAATATACCACTTTCCAACAGTATAAGCATGATACTAGAGTGGCTCCCTCTCACAAGAACCCGCCCCCTCCTCTGTCCTGCCCTCCTGCACACCATCTTCATTCCCTCTCTTTTTCTGATCTAGCATTTAGAAAATCATGACTGTTGCAACACAAACAAAAAATACAAGGAAATGAAAAAATAAAGTACATGACTCAAAAAAACAATTAATACAATGTAGTTTTTATAGTTCAACACAAAAATGGATCAACACAAAAATGGATCACCTCAGAAATAGTCACATACAGAGTCATCAAAGCATCAAAAACCAAAAACCTTATTTGCACACTTTTTGTACAAACTTTTTTGTTAAACATCAGTTTAACAATTTTGTTTTTTTGTAAGTACAATGCTGACAACAGTTGTAAAATTCTACCAGTTTGAAAAATGTGGGCATTTGTGATTAAAAAAGGCACATTCTTACCTCACGGATTTGAACTCTAACTTTATTGATAGCCTTTAACCAACGAAGTCTAGATGGAGAAAAAGGAAGTGGTGGCCCATCATCATGGAACCTAGAATACGATTAGTAAAGTTGACTCCAAAGACATTAACAAAAAATCCAGTAATACGAATTGGTACAAACCTCACAAGCTTGGATGAGCCTCTCTCTGATGAATTGCTACTTTGCTTTTCATCTGTCGAGGAACGCAGGTCATTTTCACTAATAACATGTCCGCTGGTGGAGAAATGTCCATTGGTGCGAGGTGGACCACTATTGGAGGGATGAAAGCCTACGCTGTGGTAGGAGTGAAAGGACTCCTCCAGCTCAGAACCTCCAGTGCTCTGGCCAGTTTCACTAAGCTGGGAGCTGGTCTGGCTCAAATTTCCTGATGACCCAAAGCGACTACTTTCCACTGGACTACAAGGGGTGAGGAAATAAGTCATGTTAGAATGTTTGTCTTGACATATTGTTTATACACGTAATTGAACACCACAAACCTATGAATCTATTTGGATAATGTCTTTGTGTCAGAAATATATTACCTTTGAAATTATGTACTTATGAAAATGAAAGCTTGGTGACACAACACTGCTACATAAGTTCAAAATCCCATGTAAACCAAATGTGTAGTACATTGTATTTCTGTGCACAGTAATCGTGTACACAATATTGAAAGCAGGAGAAATTTACAAAAGGATTTTGATCTTAAATGTACAACAACAGTGAAACTCAGTGACACACTAACATATATCTTAAGTTATTACTATACATCTAAGAATGGACTGCAGAGCTGGACAGGGAGTTTTGTAAGTAAAATGTTAATGCAATATAAATGGATAAACGTATGGTCATTTATTAAACTTTTACTAGCCTTGCTGTTAATAGATCCTTCTTGAACCGGTTGTCCAGCTGCGCTCCAGAGGAAAGACCTGTATCGGGATGTGTTTCTACTAGGTTGTCCTTTTCTTTGAGGGATAGGGATGCTGAAGGGTCTACTTCAGGAGTGGAGATGCAAATGTTGGGTTTCTGATCAGGTAAACCTACCGGCTCTGATATTTGACCTCCGTCTGTACGATTCTTGTCTATAGAGGGTTTTGGTTGGTTATTTTCTGCATTTTCTTGAGGTTTTGGGGGTTCAGTCTGCCAAGGGAAACCCATCTTTGCACCAAACAATGACATATTTGTGGTCTCTGCCTTTCCAGGAGCATTCTTTTCATCTTGAAATAGACTTCCAGATAAAGTCTTGAGCCCAGAAAAGAGCCCACCCCCTTGATCAGTTTGAGAAGGTGGCTGAGCAGTTGTCGGAGTGAATAAAGATCCAATAGATTTTCCAGTGTCACTTGTTGCATTGACAAGACCACCAAATAAAGTTTTAGCTTGGGATACTTCAGCATGATCAGAATTCTGTTCAGTTGTTTGTTTTTCTATCGGTGGAACTGCCAAATCGTTACTTTCAGCTTCAGTAGTAATTGTCGTAGGTATATCTTGTATTGCTTCTTCTAGGACAGCAGGCTTTCCTGTTTCACAAGTTTGTGTCTCGGGTGCAAGCTCACCTTCAGAGGTTTTCAAACTTAACACATTTGAAGCGTTACATTCTCCATCTGAAATTTTAGCAGAGTCACTGACTGGCTGGACTTGAGAAACACTTGAAACTGTAGAGTCCAATTGATTCATGGCCGTCTCTTTGACAGGAGGAGCTGCTTTTGATGGAACGCTTTCATGTACTGAGGGGGCAGTTGTCGTCATGGTTTTAGTTGGATGTTTTTCTGTTGGTTTAGTTTGTTGCCCAATGCCACCAAACAAGGACCCACCAATACCACCAAGTACTGAGGCTGCTGGCTGTGTTCCAGAGGTTTGTGCAGTTACACCACTAAACATTCCTCCAAGTATAGAACCCCCTGATTGTGGTGATGCATTTGAACCCGTTCCTCCAAACATGCCACCGAGTATGGACCCAGGGGCTGCTGTACCACTAGGCTTTGGAGTGGCTGCTCCACCGAACATACTACCTAGTACTGATCCCCCAAGGTTAGAGGTATTGGATTGAGGACCAGATTGTGGGGCGGAGCCAAATAAACCTCCTAGCAATGAACTTCCTGTCTGTGGAGCTGACGGTTGGCTTGTTGTTCCTTTTGTACCGAAAAGGCCTCCTAACAATGATGGTCCCGTTTGATTAGGACCAGTGTTGGTTTGCTGTTGCTGAGGACTAGTATTAGGAGCAGGCGGTACACTAAAAAGTGAGGACATAAAGCCCGCCACTTTATCAGCTGAAGAGTCCAAAACAGATCTTTCGGTCTCAGGCATTTTCTGTTTTTCTTGTACAACATTGTTTGGGGTTTTTGTGCTTTCCTCACCTTTAGATGGAATTCCACACTCAAAAATAACCTCTGAGCTTGTATGGTGGGTTGCAATATCAGGCTCTTTTGATGAAATATCTATTGGTGGAATTACTTTATCGGGCTCTGGACAAATATTTGTATCAATTTGAGACTGTGTAAGTATTGGTGCATTGCTGACAACAGAAGTGTGTTCTGGAGCCGTTTGCTGTGAACTTTGTATTTCGGAAGTGAGTTCAGTAGATGCTTCAGACATATGTACCGAACTAGCTTTGTTGTCATGGGGTTTAGGTGGTGCTGGTGCAGATGTCGTGGCAGGTGAGGAGGATGCAGGTAAAATTCCACCCAAAAGAGATGCGGCTGAAGGTCCTGCAGTTGTCTGAGATGGAGATGCAGGTGAAGTATTACCGGTAAACATAGAGAGGATGTTTTTTCCAGAAGTCTCATTAGACGCTGAAGATGTGGGTAAAATGCCACCCAAAAAAGATGCAGCTGAAGGAGCTGTATTTGTTTGAGATGGCGATGCACCTCCAAATAGGCCTCCAAGAAGGGAGCTAGTATTTTGTGGTGTTGACGTTGACGGAACGGATGATCCACCAAAAATTCCACCTAAAACAGATCCTGCAGTCTGTGCTCCCCCAGTCTGTGTGGTATTCCCACCAAATAAACCTCCAAGTACAGAAGTATTATTCTGATTTCCTCCTGTTGGGGCAGCTGACCCTCCGAATAAACCTCCGAGTAACGAGCCCGTTGGAGGAGCTGTCATTTGGGGTGATGACCCGCCAAACATTTTACCCAATAAAGAACCGGCAGTATCAGATGAAGACTGAGGAGCAGAACCAGGAGCAGATGGCAAAGCTTTTCCTGTTTGGTCACTTGCTTCGGCTGTCTTTACTGTGAGTGAAAGACCACTAGTACTGCCGTCTGTGGTTGGCCCAGTCAACAAAGACGGCAAACTCTGTGTGGTTGACTGAGTATTTTGTGTTGACTCTTTTTGATCTGAGACTGCCACCTGTATGGGTCCTTGGACGACAATTTTGTTCTCTTGTTCTTCTGTCACCATACCTGTCCCATGAACAGATTGATTACTTTGTGCCTCAAAAGATGTGTTACCGTTTTTGTTTTCAGTTCCATGAGCAGTTGATTTTTCTGGAACATTATTCACAGATGCAGGTGGTTGTAATTTTGCAGGTTCTTGTGTTATAAGGGCAACACCACCTGTAACTTGTGTAGTATTCTTTTGCAGATGCTCTGTAGCCCCAGCGGTTTGAGGAATATCAGGACTACCAAACACTGAGAATAATGACTTTTTATCATTAGAGCCAGACAGTCCACCAAACAATCCTCCTAGAACAGAAGCAGTTGTTTGTTCTTGTGGAGGCTGTTGAGGTTGGGGCTTTGACTGTGTCTGATGAGGTTGTGTTTGAGCCTTGACTTGTGCCTGTTGAGGAGTTTTTTGTGGCTGTTGAGGTGTCGAATCAGTAAATACGGAAAACAAGCCTTTCATTGGACTTTCGCCTGAACTTGATGACCCGGACAAAATCCCGCCAAAAAGAGATCCAGTGTTACCTTGAGTCTTTTGAGGTTGGGTACTGGGACCTCCAAGCATTGACAAGAATCCTGAACTCACCGAGTCTTTTGGAGGGACAGTATTCTGTGGTTGCCTTTCAACATTCGATTTAGCTTGAGGAGAAGGCTGGGGAGAGGATGATGAACCAAACATAGACAACAACCCTTTGCCAAGTGATTCTTGTTGTGGGGGAATTGTTGATTGAACAGGTTGTGAATTCTGATTTGCTGACGGTTTAGATGCTGCCTGAGGGGGTTCAGGTCCACTAAACAACGACAATATACTTTTCCCAATTGATCCCTCTTGTGAAGATGTCCCTATTGTAGATGTTCCTTGGCTAGGTGCAGTTTGACCAACTGTTGGACCTGTCAGAATTTCACCTAGAGAAAAGCCAAAGAGCCCTCCAGATTGTTTTGGAGGTTGGTCTTTATTTTGTTGATTAATCTGAGGCATGGTTTGAGAAGGTGTTGGAATATTACTTATACTGGAAGTGGGAGGAAGTACTTGTGACATGCTTTTACTTGGAGGTTGACTGTGGTCCATACCACTTTGATTCATTGTCCGTTGCCTCTGTATGCCTTTTGGTCTAGATGATGAGGCCAGTGACCCATCTGTAACACTCGGTTTCATTTTATTGTTTTCAGCTGGTGGGGGCTCAGCATTAAACAAGCTGCTAATTGATCCAAAAAGATTTGAAACACTGGTAGTTTCTTTATTTGTGGTTACTGTTTCAGTTGAAGAAGCACTAATGCCGGTTTTAATCTGCATCTGTGAATCAGGCTTGGGATCTTCTAGCCCAACAGCTGTTTTAAGGAAACCCATGAAACCTGCTGCTTGTTCTGGTGGTTTTTCACTCTGAAGTAGTGTGGGAGCTGCGGGTTTATTTATCGGGTCTTTTGAATGCAAAGTTGCAGTCACAGGTTTTTCAATTGGTGGAGCAGCCTGATGACCCATAGTAGTTTGACGTGCCAGACGTGGTTTTTCTGTATGTGCAGAGGGCTGATTTGGTTGTAAAGTTGTGGGGGGAGTGGGTAAAATTCGACCTTGTTTAGGCTGATTCAATATTTGTGGTTGAACAACATCAGTTTGACTAATGGTGGGTTTGGCATCATCTTTCATAATCTTTGATTTAAGACTTTGAAATCCTGATGAAAACATACCCTGTGCTTTGTCTGCGTTTGCATTGGAGCATGAACTTGATTTGCTTACTTCCACTTGTGAAGATGGTTTCACATAAGATTGGCGATGTGGTTGTCCTTTCCCGGGAGACACCCTCTTTCTCCATTCTTCTTCTGATATTTCATTCACATGCTTAACTGTTACCCCTGTTGAGGAACGACGGCGTTGGCTTGGTTGATAACATTTGGAAACTGGCTGTTGATTGGAATATGCTGACTGAGTGGAGTGGAGGGAAACTGCAACCTTTTGAGCAAAAAAGGACTTAATTTCTTGATTGTTCCATAGTGGCTCTCTTTTATTCAAAAGTGGATCTCTATTATGACAGGAAAGGTCGATAATATCTTGGTCTTGATACATGTAATTGGGGACTGTAGGATCCATTCTTACCTTGTTTAACCTGTAGGATGAAACGTCTACACTTTGAGGACCTTGAAAGGCAAAGGAATTTTCAAACATTTCAGAAAACTGTTGAAGATTTAAGTTCATTATTTGATTTCCTTTTCTATAGGCAGCCGATAAATCTAAAGGGGCACTGAGGAGTTGAGCATCATTATGATCTTGACCAGGCAACCAAAGAAGTTCATCCTCATTGAAAAGAGGAATTTTAAAGCCACAAACTAATACCATCTCATTGTGTAGCCAAGCACTTGGCTGGCAATCAACTTTATGTGGATTTCCCCAAATTTCATCTTCAGGACCACAAACATATACATTTTCACCTGCAGCATCTGTAAGTAGGGCATAAATGTATTCATGGTCTGTGTAAACAAAGTAACCACAGTCACCATCTTCTGCTGGCCACCACATGCCTTGTTCCAACAAAGAGAGCCATTGCTGATACCATTCAGTGTCCTCGAGATACTTTGATTCACCAATCTCAGGATATAATTGTCGATTCAAGCGCCTTTCATGATTAATATCTGTTCCATGTTGCCAGTTTGCTGAATAGGATAAACTGGGAGCATTTTCTTCATAGTAACCTTCATGATAAAACACGCCATTAACGCTGTAGGTGCTACCATAATTATTCAATGTTGCATCACATTGTTTATTGGTTAGATTTAGAGCACAGTCATCATACTCAGTGTTTCCCAAATCTTGATAACTGTTCCAAAGTCTTTTATTTTGATTAAAATTAATTTCATAACTCAAGTTACTCTCCAACAACTGTGGCTGCTGATAACTGTCTTGCCATTGTACAGAGTTGTTAAGATGTTGATCAGATGAAAGGTATTGCATAGAATTATGTGGGGATGCTCCTACCCAATTCTGTCCGCATGGTTGGCTTTCAATATTTAATTGAGAATTTATCTCGTCTCTCTGGAACTGTTGCCATAGTGTGCTTTGATTTATCCAGTGGTATTCATCATATGGAGACAATTGACCCCTAGAACTTGATGGTGTGCTCAGGGCACTATGTGGTCGCATTGTCATAGTTCCAAGCTCAGCCAGAAGGCTTTGAATATTACCCGTACTATATGCCATTGTCGGAACATGTTGAACAGGTTGAAGATAATATAGATCACCCGTACTGACTGAAGAATATGCTGATTGACTTTGGAGAGATCTTGCAAATGTTGAAGATGTTCTAAGGTCTAAACTTTCAGCATCAATGGATACTGGTGCTCTAATGAAGGCATGTTTACTCTGGTGTGGGGGACATGCAAAAGCTGCTGTCTGGTTGATATTTCCTCTTACATCAGAGTTCAAATTTTTTATTGAAACAGATGGAAATGAGGTCACCAGTGATGGTCTCTCAGGCTCAGTGACTGGACCTTTTGTTTCTGTGCTTCTTTGATTATTCATTTGGTCAGTTTCCTTTTTGTGGAAAAGTCCAGATAAAAAGCCTTGTTGGCTAGGTTTTGAAGATGTTTTGTCCATATTACTTTCCTGAAAAGTTAAGTTGCTCTGCTGAACATCTTTGCTCCTTTGACTACTGGTGTCTGTGTCTTTCTGACTGGCCAAGAATATGTGGGAGCTTGAGGCTATAGTTTCAGATTTTGCCATTTTGCTTAACAATCCAGAAAACACCCCAGATTGGTTTGTGGATTCTTGTTTAGTTGTCTGATTATGTTCTGATTGTGGTTGATGAGATATTGTTTCAGATGAACTTTTGAGTAAACCAGACAGAAATCCAGTATTTTCATTATTGTTATGGGGCAAACTGGTTTCCCTTGAATCTTTAGTGAATGTGTTCACATTGATAGAAGCTCTTTGGTCATGGCTTGATTTCATTTGTAAAAGGTCATGAGCTTGCACATTTTGTTGATTGTCAATGTGGTCTGCTGATGAAAACTTAAACAGATCAGTGAGAAGACCACTTCGTTGGGATTGTGCTTGTTTCGTGGGAAATGTATGCTGTCTACTAATACCCGGCTTATTCATCTCCTGTGGAACAATTTTAGGTCTTGGAATTTGTTGGTTTGGATTGACAATGTTGTGTCTGTCGATAGGCGGATTAATGTTAACTGGCTTAGGCTCCATAGAAGTTTGCTTACTTGATTCACCCTCTGCACCAGCAAGTTTAAGAAAACCAGACAAGAACCCTTGAGATTTCTCTGAGGTCAGTGGTGGCCCAGCAGTCATGCTACCCTGATGTGTTCCTTCAGCATACTGTACATTTTCTGATGAAGATATCTTGAATAGTCCTGTCAAGAAACCCCCAGGTGTGGCCTGAGAAGCATTGACATTTTGTTGTGAAACTGTATGGTGTGGTATTTGGGGTGGTGGGTGGCTTGTAGGTGGGTAACTGCTTGATGAAGGCTGTGGAGGTGAACTACTGGACAGATCACCCACTGAAGCAAATTTGATAAAACCAGAGAGTAATCCCCCTTGGCTAGGTTGGTTGGAAATTGCACTTGGTTTATTGTCGTTTGAGCTACCTTTTAGAAGACCAGTCAGAAAGCCTTGAGGCTCTGGTTGTTTCTGTTGACTCTCAGGTGGGGCCGTTGCTCTTTGCTGTGGTTGTTGAGAATGATAACCTGGTGGTAATCTGTTTGAATTAGGCTGTCCGCCATGTTCATTTGGGTTTACATGTGTGGTATCAGGACCTGGGTTGAACAAGCCAGAAAACCAACCCTTTTCTGCGCTTTGCTGTGGTGTAGAAGATGACTGACTCATATGGGCATGAGGTGAACCATGATGAGATTGCATAGGCTTTTGGACATTTTTAGAGGCACTGACATCTTCATTCGAAGCAAACTTTAGAAAACCAGACAACATGCCTCCCTCAACTTTGAGTGGTTGTTGAGTGGAGACATTTTCAGAGGAAAGGAAAGGCAGTTTTAGTTTATTACCAACAGATGAATCATCTGTTTTTGGCAGATTAGGATTTGGTGTGGATTGAGGATGAACTGGATAGACTGCAACTGGGGGAGGTCCTTGTGGTGGAATAGGGGCTGCAGGTGAGATAAGTGAACTTAGTGATTTTGGGAAAGAACTGAACAAACCCGCTTTTTCTTGAGTTGATTTTTGAGAGTAAACTGATTCAAATGGCACATTTTGTTTAAAGTACGATTTTGGATGTTCCTTTACATTTTCATCTGGTGCAACATGTCTGTTGTTAGGGGAATTTTTCATGCCTGCAAGACCAATGTGTGACTGTTGTTTTTGGCCATATGTTTTGTCCGTTTCGTTTTCAACGTTTTGTTGCGTTGGTTTATTTTCTGAAGGTTGTGAACTATCAGATGAAAATAACTTAAGTGGATTCAATTTATTCATGACAGAAAGTCCTGGTGTATTTTGAGGTACTGATGAAGCCTCGAGCAATGGTTTATTGTTAATTGTCCTTACAGGGGAGGTCAGATTGTGATTATTCCCTTGTAACTTGGGATTTGGTGGATGAGAAGATAAGTATGAAAAGTTCTTTTCTGATTCAACAGGAGACACTACAGCTACAGGTGCTGTATTCTTAGATTTTGGAATGAAAGAGAGCAGTTTGGTAAACCCTGATGTCTGTGCCTCAGTTGCTTGAGGCTGTGTTATTTGAGGAGATGTTGTTGCCTGCTTGTTACCGCCCACTTTGTCAGTAAGAGAACTAAACAATGAACTTACAACATTTTTGACTCCTGATATACTTTGCTCGGAATTATGTAAACTTGTGTCTTGTATGGAATCTTTTACAGTATGAGTGTCATCACCATAGGAATCCGTCCGGTAGCTTCCCAAAGACGACAACCTGGATTTATTAGATTTAGGAAGTGATCCATAGCGACTTATTTCTTCCTCTTTTTCAGCAAGGTATTCAGAAACGGTTTCAACAAGACACTGAAGTTCATCCATGGGGTCTAAGAATTCTTCAAGGGGTTCTTCCACTGGCGACAGCATTGCTTCAGGAGCCCATTCACCTAGCTTTGACTTCCTGCACTTCCTTTCTCGAAAACCTTGAGAATTATCTAAGGACATGTCAAAAGAATATCTGTCTTTGTATTGTCTCATAGTTTCTGAATACATATCATCAAAATATTCAACATCTTCATCTGAGTCTAGGTTGAGATCAGCATGTTTTTCTGTATCAAAGTCAAACTGTGCCCTTCGTCTGGCATCCTCCTGTCGTTTATATGTGACATAGTTCTCCAATGTATTGTCAAGGTCATTTTTTGCCCACATCCTTGTTTTATAAAGGAGTCCTTCTCTGTAGGGTGCAAGGCAAGCTGATGAACGCTCTTCTTCTTCTTGCATTTCTGCTAACTGCTGCAGTAATTGCTCACCCCTCCTCTCACGGGCCAGTGCAGAGTCTGCCTCTGTGTGAGAAAAACCACCTGGATCTCTAATCTTTTTCTTCTTTCGTCGATCAATGGTGTCATAGCCTTCGGGGTAGATGACGTGGAGATTTCGTTGACTATTGTGATGAATTGGCTTGTGTGAAGGCACAGAGTAGCGACTTCCCAGGATGACACTGTCTTCTTCATCATCAAGGAAGTCACTCAGCTGTGCCTTTCCTTGCCTCTTGTATTTGTTATCCCATTCTTCAAAACCCCTGCCAGAATCTACAGGTAACTCTGCTTTATGATTGATTGAACTAAAATTTAAATATGAGGAAATGGAAGAAAGCAGGGAAAATATAGGAAAGGGGAAAAAACATAAAATGTAGAAAATGCAAAAAGATTTAGTAGAAAGAAAAACATGGAAAGAATGTGATGAGACATTAATGCAAAAAACATGCAAACGCAGCTATATAATAGATTTGTCTCTATTAAGGAATAAAACCATGAAAACCTATATCTATTTATTATCACACAGTACAGTTGCACTTTGCAACATATTATGCCTAAACTCAAATTTAAAAGAACTAAAAAACATTTGAACTAATAGTGACATCAAATGGACCTCATAATTAGAGAAAGGCAATATGGCAAAAAAGGAAAATTTAGATGTTATTTCCCCCTTGCGATGTTTACGATTTAAATATATTTTAGATAGAGTTAAATGTAAATGTCCATCCCAAGCAATCATAGAAGTATTGTACGCAGCATCACATCTAACATACACTATGGTGTGCCTTTTATTCCCTATATAAAGCTAAACTACAGACCCCTAAGAAGCAGAGGGCAGAAGAAACATTATCCTGACCTTGATTTCACAATTTTGACATTACTCACATTTTTGATTGTTTTTTGATTAATTCCCCAGCCCTACTTGGGGGATACATTGAACCCCTGTGTTGTATTATCTGTGTACCTGTTTCCCCTGTAGTCCAGATCAAAGCTGTGAACGGAGCCAGTGCAGGAGTCGTGGTGGTTTGGAGGACGCAGACCAATGGGGTACTGGTGCATGGAGGAATTGGGCTGAGCGGTCGTGTGGTATCGAGGTGGCAAACTGTTGCTGGTCTCACTGCGATAGTCACTGTCCCGGTCTTCCACAGCACTGTCCTGGTCATCTAACGCTGGACAAAGCAACACACAGTAAGCCCATACATCCCAACGTACACAATGCAGGTTAGAAAAAAAACAAAGATATCTTAATACTAAGTCACTTTAAACAATTATTACACTGAATAAGCCATGCTTAGGCCCATGCATCTTCAACTCAACCCTTCAACATCAACAAACAATAATCTAACCATAGTGTTTATCCTCTCAAAGCAAAATGTATATGTACAATTAGAGGTGTAGGAAAATATCTATTTGCGATACAATATTGATTGTTCAGCCCCGAGTATCGATACATAAGTCCCATTGAAACTCCCCTTGTCCACCCCGTTCTGTTTGAACGAAGAGCAATTTGGTCAGCCAGCAGCTTGCGTCGCTGAAGAGAAAATTTCCATGGTTTAGAAAATCTGCTGTATTGCCCTGCGATTCTGCAAAATGCAAGGCAGGCTTTGATGCCAACAATTTTAAGCTTGCGGATTCTTGTGTAGAGTTCTCCTCCACGAGTGCAGCTCTGTGGCATCTCTGTGTTCAGAGACCTTCCAGTGACTTCATATTAAAGCACTATCTGGTCACGGAGCTGCACCATGGATTTATTATATTATTAGTCGGTACTTCAGTATCGGCAAATACGCTAACAGCACTTGTTTACAGTCACGGCAGAATGAGAAGTCAGGCTGGAGGCATATATTCACAAGCACTGTGTCCCCCATTGTCAGCCTTGGTTTAACCATTGTTTAGTCCTGGGTTAATTCTGGTTTAATCCTGGTTTAATTCCGGTTTAGCTCATGTTTTGTCTGTTTTCGAATGTCTTTGCCTTCCTGTTAGGACCGGCTTGTGTCCCTGTGACAACTTTGCAGGTCTATGATTGGTTGCTGCACGTGCGTCTGGCAAAAAAAGTTAAAGCTATTAATTACAGTCTATGAGTTAGATAGAGGAGATTGAAGAAAAGCATTGCGTGGCAAGCTAAAAAAAACTGTTAAACTGTTCAGAACAGGCCACTTGCTTCACCTTTTAACTCTCCATTGTTCTTTTCAATACACTTTATTTACTTTTCAAACAGTTTGAACAATTTTTAAATAAATGTAACTAATTTTTGACTAACACATCAACACATCTTTGATTAATTTGATCCAACGTTTGTCAGCTGTAGACACAGAAAGATTGTGAAATTGATGTTTTTAGGTTTCAGGAAATTATGTAAGTATCAAATTATGCAGAATCGTATCTTATCAATGGCTGAATATTGTGATATACATTGTATATTGAGCTGAATATCGTGTATCGTATCGTGAGATTAGTGTATTGCTACACCCCATGTACAATGCTCATTAGTTTGATATAAAACAACATTAAACAGTTCTTTGCTTGACACTACAATCAGGAAATAGAAAGTTAAATATAAAAACCAATAGTTACTAAATATTGTTGCTCTAAAATTAAAAATTATTACAAAGAAAATAAAAAGAACACTTTCACAAGCACTTCATCAATAAATATTCAAAACATAATCTTATGGATTGAATGTAAGGTTAAAGACAAGGGAAGGACTTCAAAAATGTAAGGGGAAAATGTAAAGAAGTTTTGGAAAAATAGGGATAAGACATGCTGAAGGATAGGCCAGGGATAAATTTGATAAATGCGGTGTCATATTTTTACATACTGAGTGGGTCAGCCCATCCGAAATAGTTGCCTGGTGGAAGTGCAAATAATACAAGTAAAAAGTACACAATTACTATTAATGTGTTTAATTATGAAAAAAATATTATAAATGCATAAGCTAGTATTGAAATCCGATGTGTGCTTGAGCAGAATGAAAAAAAACTGTGGCTCAGCATGTAAGAATTTGTATAAAAACACCATATATTTAATTTTATGTAATAATAACTAAACAGAGCAAAAGGAAACCAAAACCAAAGGTCCCCATCAAAGGGAAAGGGCTCCCTCTACAGGTATAATTCATTATTACAGCAAAACTCACAACACTGAGAGGCAGCAAACGGGAGGGACTGGTGCTGAATGTCATCCTGGAGAGGGTACTGTACAAAGAACAAACAAGATGAATTGTGGCTTTAGTAGTTATAGAATATTTCTATAATATTTGGATCCAAATGTTGCTTACCTCATCATGAATTGTCATTGTATTGATCTGTTCGAGCTTTCCTGTCCAGTATTGAGCCTCATCATCTGGAATATCTAATGCAGAACAGCTATTTATTATTCTGTAGTCTAGCACCCTCAAACATTATGGAGTTCATGGATTCTCTCTTGTAGGAAATTATTATGGCATTAAAATAGGCATACTGATTACACCAATTTCTCCCTTCTCTCTGTACCAATTCCATACAGATAGGAAGACTATAATAGAGTTTGAAGGGGTCAGGTGGTACACTTTCCCTCCAGCCGTTTCCTCATGCACAGGGTTGAATAAGACCTGTGCTTCAAAGAAACAGCACCCCATGGCTCTGCGCCATGCTCTCATGGCGCAGACCGGTGGATAAAGCCTACCACCATGAAAGGCCTGCTCACTTACACACAGACAGACACACACAAGATACGCAGCACACGCTCACTTTGATCCCATCACACTGCGATAAACAGTGTCTGCATAGAAATGGCTTCAAATAGAAATGGCTAAAATTGAACTTTTATGTAATACATGGTTGATACAATTAGTGAAACATATTTCTTTGAAATGTAACAGCAATGAACAATTCTATACACTTTTACAACATGGCAACAAGCATGGCAAAATAATTAAGGAAATAATCAATTATAATTTGTCTAATTATACAAATTAAAACTAGATATATTATTATTTTGGCTATTGTTTGAAAAAGAAATGTTTCTGCGTTGTGCAACAATATTCTGATTTTACGTTGAACATTTGCCTTAAAATTCTATACATATGAATCATACTTTTCCTAAAGTTTACACCAAATATGATAAAAGTAGGAACTATCAAGGATTTAATCTACTTCGAAGTTAACCCTTGAACCCTTTCCTTTACTTAAATTTATGACATGATTTAAATGTAGGCTATTGACAAAAAAATACTAAATTGTCTGTCCTTTTTTTTGATCAAATAAGTTATACTACAATTTCTCACACATATAACAAAAAAGGTACATCTGTATATCTGTACATTAAATAACATCCACAATGGACCTAAACTGTATTAGCCAAGCTCTTATATCCGCTGATGATCATATTTAAGATTCCTAAGTTAATTAGGGAGCAACTCCCACACAGCAAGAACAAAAAAGGTGCATTAGCTTTTTTTTTCTTTTTTTTTATTTATATACCGCCTTTCACAGACCAGAGTCACAAAGCGGTTTTACAATTGTTATTTTTGGGCACTTGTCCTCTCACTCCACACAGAGATGGGAGCGGGGAGGATGTATATCTGCAACATTTATCAAAGATAGTGGCTTTCTCTGCGGCTTACGGTAAATATTTATACAATGAACGAAGAAAACAAACACAAAAAGTGGTTGTGAGACGCGAGCCTTTAGTGACTTACCAAAAGGAAGCTCAAAGCGAGTATCCAGAAGAACCCGATGTGGTGTTGGATTCTTAGTCCCATAGATTTCATCCGCCTTCATCAGAACCTCCGAGTCCAGGTAGAGCCAGTCTCCGAAACCCTCCTTCAGTGGGACAATAAAAACAATATTCCATTATTGTTTTTGACTTAAAAGGCTTTTATACACTTTTTATGTGAGGTCAGCATGGTGCCTTAAATCCAGGATCAATGTTTTTGTAGGTTTTCTAGTGCATAAGTCCCACAGAAGAAAACACCTTCCAAGCGATTGACTCTATAGCATCCTCACGATCGCTGTGATGGAAAGTAAAGGCCACTGGTTCTACCACTACACAGTCAAATATGCAAAAATATACACTTTTTTGATCTTTTAAAGCTGGGATGCTGATTAAAACTAATAATAATGATAATAATATTATCCATACATAATGAATTTTTTACGTTTCAACAGAAAGGGTCTAGTAAAAGTAAAATGTTGTGAACAAATCAGACAAACAACATGCCATCTTGATCATATCTAAGAACTGACTGGCAGAGTGAGGGTGGGCCTCTCTTTGACACTTTTCCGACTGAAAAAACTAATCTAAAGCCGTGACGAAACGAACCGAGTTTAATGGATTTTATAAAATGTTAAGTACCCCAGCTTAAAGGAAAAAAGGCAGCACGCAGTTTGTAATCATAAATATATTCAAGACATTTTGGCTTTGATTAGAAACTCAAAACATATTTTTTACAACCATATATTTATGTATAACATCAAAAGCAAGTAAGATATTGTGTTGCCATGTAAACCAATGGGCAAGGTTCTAGAGCTGACCAAAATTCTTGTACAAAAGTATCGCTTTTTTGGCATAACAAAAATGTAGATAGCAGTGGAAGAACTACTACGGATGGATTATGAAATAAGCCAATATTATGTAGTTTCATTTAATGTTTATCGTGCTACATCTCTGCAGCCATATCAGGTCAATGTTCTTACTTCTTCAGACTGTAGAACACTTTTCAGGGGGATCCACGCAGTGCCCACCATAGTGTCCCAGATCAGGCCTTTGTTCCACACCTCCACAATGAGCCCGAGGTCCAGGCGGTTGATCTCGCTGTACATTTCAACATTAAACATGGTTAAAATGTAAATAATAATAAAAAACAAAAAGGTTATAGGCCTTCAAATAGACTGGACAATGCTAATGTTGAACACAAAATGATCTGAAAAGCTTCTATCTGTGTTGCAATTATAGCTCACTTCCCACTGCTTAGTCATTCATCAAGGGACAAAAAAGAGTGGGACCATCCATTCAAATGTAGACTAAGCTGGCGGACAGGAGAATTTGCATGTTCTCATCTGTACAGACCTCAACTGCTGCTAACAAAAAAGAAGGATGAGAGGAGAGATAATCAAAGAGGTTGGCTAATTAACACAAGTGCAGGGAGGTGGGGGGGGGGTCCAGGTGCACGTATAAAAGCTTTACAAATGATACGCATAAGAGGGTTAATACAGAAAATGTAATCTGTAAGCAAATGTGTGTTACATAAACATTATTAATGCTTTTTCAAGCATAACAAAAACAAAGTTGCAACATTTACTTTGAGTGTCGCTTAGACCACTGTTTCCGGACCAAGGTTACGTGGGGTGATTACAGAGGGTACTCATTCATTCTTTTATCTTTGTCCCTCTTTTCCATTTCTGCCACAGGAGGATGGCTGCTCTGTCAGCAAAGACACAGTTGGTTTTTCAGCGAGGGTTTTACAGAGGGTACTTGAGATGATTTTCAAAAGGGGGTTATGAGGTCATAATGTACTGGCATGGCATGCTATACATCTACTTATTTGACCCAGAACACAATTCATAATAATAATAATAATAATTGGTCCTTCTTTTAAAAGTAATTATAATTGGTTTTATACATTACTTTTTGGACACTCAGTAACGTTTCAAAAGTTATTATTCATTCACTCTATACATGGTGATAAACTAAGACTATAGCCATAGCTGCCCTGGGGCACACTGAAAGAAGCGAGGCAACCAGTATGTACCATCGGCCCCTCAGACTATCAACACCAGAATCCTTCTAGGCAATGTACAAAACAACAGTTTTGGCACAGCTAGAGCCACCCCCCTGTGGCACCTCCGCAAGAGAGTCCTAACCAGGCCCTTAGGTTCAGAGGTCTGATGGGATGCAGGTGAGGTGGCATGTGTGGCACCACCTGTATGATCCAGTTTTGCTTTTGTCCAAGCATGTACTCATTATTTGTCGTCGTGTGCTTGGGCAAGACACTTAACCCCACTTTGCCTGAAGACCCCGCTGAAAGACAAGGCTCCTGTGGACTCACCACCTGCAGGGGGATCAGTGAGGGGCTGGTGCTCTGTGAACTGGGTGCAGCTCTGACTGCCACTCCCTGACCCAGAAATGGATTAAGGGGAAGAAAATGGATGGATGGACAATGTTTAAATATTTTTGGTCTACTAGTAATTTCCGTGCACTCCTCATACATATCGAGACACCTAACACCAGGAAAATCGAAGGCCACCATATCACCATCATACACAAGTGGAGCAGACACAGGGAGAACATGCAAACTCCACACAGAAAGACCTAGTGTATGCTGAGAGCTGCTACTTTATGACATGAATGTAATAGTATGTCCGCTTAAAATTAGTTTAGAGTGTTTGAATTCCATCTTTTCTGTACGTGGTGAGCAGTAGCAGCTGACAAAGGACTGTGGACGTATCATCAACGGACGGTCAAAAGATGGATGTGTGGAAAAACAAACAGTGTAACAACTAGACTTCACAAAAGACCAACAATGACACACGAAAACAAGGCTCTCACGTCGTCATAGCTACCTTTCACTGAGTAAAGTCAAACGAGGAAATTAAAACAATAGATTACAAGTGAGAACTGGACCACATCTGGGAAACACTATGATAACACCAATGACATGTTCAAAAAAGTGGAGGCAAAAGACATTTGTGATAAAAAATCTTATTGTAAACAGCTGACAGTTTCAAAGCCTTGGTGTAAATCTGAGATGATACAGCAAGAAATGACTTTGAAAAATAAGGAATAGGTTGGTAATGTAACTAATTCCTGCCGAATCCATATAGTGAACACAAAGTTTCACATCTTCTTTATCCACACACATCCAGTATGGTCTAATTACTTTCTCATAAAAAGGTTTAGAGAGGTTGTGACGATATTCAAAAAAAATTCCATGAAGCATGTCAATTTTATGGCTGGTTTGCGAATTTTATCACTATCAAATAATGATCTGGGAACACACTCTTCCACATTTCTAAAAAACATGTGTTCTCCCCCCCTGAGTACAATATACTCACAACATGAAGTCCTGCTCCCAACATGGCTGGTCTCCCCGCACTGTGATCGTGGTGCTCTTCACATTCTGTACCTTCAGAGTCACATAGGTGTTAAACTTATCTGGAAAACAAAAAATAAAACCATTAGAAAAATCTGCATAATATATCAGTTGTGACTAAGTGAAAGTGAGAACGGCTTAGTCCTCCCCACACTACTTCCCCCTCGACCAGCCAAGACTGACCAGAGCAAAGGCCGGTAATCCGCAGTGAAGCAAACCCGAGCTACAGATAAATATACACAATCCTACAGTCCCTCATCTGTCCCCACTGGTAATTTCTCCAAATCCAAAGCTGCGCAGGTCAATGACGTAACAAGCCTGGCTCCCGTTTGACCGGTCACGGCAGAAGGAAAGGTCTATGTCATCTCTCATACAATCAAAAAAATAATAATTCATCAGGATGGGAAGGAAAGTTTAGGTTAAAGGGTGTAGAGCAGCAGTTCGTGGAAAAAATACAATAAAACATGCTGCACGAGGAAAGGATAAGTATTAAGCATTTGTGTATTGTCAATCATTCTGGTGATACGTGCTAACAAGACCAAACAAGACCAGAGAGTTTTTCCAAAAAGTGGAGCGGGCAGTTCTTTCCTAGAATTTGGGAAAAGCCACCTATATATCTTTATTCTACTTATAGAAGTATAGTATATGCGTACAGCACAGTATATATACACTACCGTTCAAAAGTTTGGGGTCACATTGAAATGTCCTTATTTTTGAAGGAAAAGCACTGTAGATAACTTTAAACTAGTCTTAACTGTAAAGAAATACACTCTATACATTGCTTATGTGGTAAATGACTATTCTAGCTGCAAATGTCTGGTTTTTGGTGCAATGTTGTAATTGCTGCAAATGGAGGATTCTTTGACGAAACCAAAGTTGGATGTAAAACAAATCTTCTTTCAAATACAAATCATTATTTCTAACCTTGTCAATGTCTTGACTCTATTTTCTATTCATTTCACAACGTATGGTGGTGAATAAGTGTGACTTTTCATGGAAAACACTTGGGTGACCCCAAACTTTTGAACGGTAGTGTATATATACACACAAAAAAGGCGTGATATATATTACTTTGCCTGCAATGAGTCTGTACGAGGCTTACCTGTATAATGTGACAAAAACAAGCATAAGCAGCACCAACCAAGTATTGAAAATAAGTTTTAGAATCCTTTTTTGATTGGTCTATTTTATTGATTTGGAACACATAAGTCATCATCTGTAAGCCATAATCATCAACATTACAAGGTGTATCAGCTTCAAATATTTCATATTTTGAAGCTGATATATTTTTATATGTGTATTAATTAAACTTCCCCCAGTTTCCACTACCACTAAAAACATGCACAATCCTCCAGCTCCTACAGTCCTGATCAAGCAAAGCTGGGTCCGGAGATGGGTCTCCTGGCCGCTGTACTACGGCGACCACTGCTCCTGACAGAGGCCTTAGTGGCATTGAAGAATGGGTCAAATGCAGAAGACAAAGTTCCCTATGAGGATAAATGAAGTGCACAATTACATTCATGAAGTTGGATTCAATGAGTTTGTCAAATCCTAAAAGAAAGGCTATATACAGTATAAAGTATACTGTAGGTTCAAGGGGGCCAAAGCGAAAGTATATGGCCCCCTTGAACCTTTCAACATTTTGCCACATTTCAGGCTTCAAACATAACATAAAGATATAACATTTTAATGTTTTTGTCATGAATCAACAACAAGTGGGACACAATCGTGAAGTGGAAAGAAATTTATTGAATAATTTAAACTTTTTTAACAAATAAAAACTGAAAAGTGGGGCGTGCAATAATATTGGGCCCCTTTACTTTCAGTGCCGCAAACTCACTCCAGAAGTTCAGTGAGGATCTTTGAATGATCCAATGTTGTCCTAAATGACTGATGATGATAAATAGAATGCACCTGTGTGTAATCAACTCTCCGTATAAATGCACCTGCTCTTTGATAGTCTCAGGGTTCTGTTTAAAGCGCAGAGAGAACCATGAAGACAAAGGAACACACCAGGCAGGTCCGAGATACTGTTGTGGAGAAGTTTAAAGCCGGATTTGGATACAAAAAGATTTCCCAAGCTTTAAACATCTCAAGGAGCACTGTGCAAGCAATTATATTGAAATGGAAGGAGTATCAGACCACTGCAAATCTACCAAGACCCGGCCGTCCCTCCAAACTTTCATCTCAAACAAGGAAAAGACTGATCAGAGATACAGCCAAGAGGCCCATGATCACTCTGGATGAACTGCAGATAACTATAGCTGAGGTGGGAGAGTCTGTCCATAGGACAAGAATCAGTCGTGCACTGCACAAATCTGGCCTTTATGGAAGAGTGGCAAGAAGAAAGCCATTTCTCAAAGATATCCATAAAAAGTCTCGTTTAAAGTTTGCCACAAGCCACCTGGGAGACACACCAAACATGTGGAAGAAAGTGCTCTGGTCAGATGAAACCAAAATCGAACTTTTTGGCCACAATGCAAAACGATATGTTTGGCGTAAAAGCAACACAGCTCATCACCCTGAACACACCATCCCCACTGTCAAACATGGTGGTGGCAGCATCATGGTTTGGGCCTGCTTTTCTTCAGCAGGGACAGGGAAGATGGCTAAAATTGATGGGAAGATGGATGGAGCCAAATACAGGACCATTCTGGAAGAAAACCTGTTGGAGTCTGCAAAAGACCTGAGACTGGGACGGAGATTTATCTTCCAACAGGACAATGATCCAAAACATAAAGCCAAATCTACAATGGAATGGTTCACAAATAGACGTATCCAGGTGTTAGAATGGCCAAGTCAAAGTCCAGACCTGAATCCAATCGAGAATCTGTGGAAAGAGCTGAAGACTGCTGTTCACAAACGCTCTCCATACAACCTCACTGAGCTCAAGCTGTTTTGCAAGGAAGAATGGGCAAGAATTCCAGTCTCTTGATGTGCAAAACTGATAGACATACCCCAAGCGACTTGCAGCTGTAATTGCAGCAAAAGGTGGCGCTACAAAGTATTAGCGCAAGGGGGCCGAATAATATTGCACGCCCCACTTTTCTGTTTTTTATTTGTTAAAAAGGTTTAAATTATCCAATAAATGTCGTTACACTTCACGATTGTGTCCCACTTGTTGTTGATTCTTGACAAAAAAAATATTTTTTATATCTTTATGTTTGAAGCCTGAAATGTGGCCAAATGTTGAAAGGTTTAAGGGGGCCGGATACTCTCGCAAGGCACTGTATAACAATATACAGTATATATATGTATTTTGTATAAATTGTAATAAAGACCAATATTTTTTGCTATTAAAGTATGAACTCTCAACAGATGATGGAATTTCTGTTTAAATGTAATCCACTATCAAAAGGGGAAACATAATTGTCATATAAGATACGGATATTGTCAGTAAAAGAATGTTGCTTAGAGATGTTCTTCTGCCCAAAAGTGTGTAACGTTTAAAGTTACACACAAGTTTTATCTTGTATATGCTGTGAGAATATGTGAATATGTGTGTCTTTGTGGGACAAAGTTTGGGGCACATTGAGTGGCAGTACTGTATGAAATGTGCTGAATCAATAAATCAATCTTTATAAGCAACTCAAAGTACTTTATATTAAATTTCAACCTCATCAACTCAGCAGGACCACCCAGAACAACAGGCAATAGTCTCAGCACATTCATACAAGCACTCACCCACAGAAAAAAATATCAATAAAAGTGACGCTTATCAAATGCTCTTAAAATGTTTGGCGTCAGTATTTGTACAATTTACACTGGTGAAAACATGTGTTTATTTCTTTGTTGTAGGTAAACATGTGGGAAGATGCTTTAATATGTAGGAGTCATGACTCATTATTTAAATGCTGACTCACTTTGTACGGAAATGAATTATGATTCAGGGATTGTGAACAAAGTCGTGACGGACATTGTTAGATACATAATGCCAAGCAATTTCATTACAGTATTTAGGCGTTCTAGATAAAACATAAATGAGTTAAAGTCACTTATTTCTGGGAGGAAACAAAGCAATACAATATAAAGAACTTCTGGCACAAACATGCAACTCCGTCCATTCTGTCTCAAGCCACTTTCACGCAAACTTGAAAATATCTCTCAGACTTCCCAAAATCACACATACAGCAGCAACAACAATACAAAAATGTGCATAAATGTAACTGGATTCTTGTTGCTTTTTCATGAGAAAGGCTCAAAAAACTGAGAGAAAGGCTCAAGAGCAAATATGTTGTTTCTTATAATGAAACATGCTTATGCATATACAATCTTAAATATTTCTTCAAAGCTTTTGTGCCAATAAATTCACCAAGTCTAATCTTAAATTAGTCTTTGGCCTTAATGTGTTTATTTTGCAAAGTAAAATCATCAATGGTTTATAAAACACATCCCCTCTCAGTTTGTCTCTATTATTTCATCCAGGTAAAATCCAACACGGGTCACAGTGACGCAAACTCGGGAACTCTGTGACAATTGACCAAGCATAAGTTTAATTTCCGAGTTGACAGTTGATCATTCCCATTTTTTCAAGTGCAAAGTTGGAACTTCAGAATTTTCAAAATCGCATCAACGTTGTCTTTGGACCACAGAAGCAAAGAGAAATTGTCACCGGTTACCTGCAGTCTCTCTCCCTGAAACTGAATTTTCAGCAGCACATAAATTCAATAACATCAGTGGCTTTTTATCATTTAAAAAACCAACAGCAGTTTGGCACTTTACAGCCGCAGCCGCCCCACTGTGGCTGGTGTTCCCAGAGTTAAGTGTCTTGCCAAGGACACAACGACAGCAGACAGTGGGAGTCGATGGTGAAGGTCGGGCTTGAACCCACGACCCTCTGGCTCACAGGCCAATGCTCTACTAACTGAGCTACTGTCGCCCTTATTCATGCTTTTGTCTCCAGTTGGTAAAATGCTGCAGCTCGAGTCCTGACCAGAACCAGGAAGTATGACCACATTAGTCCAGTTCTCAGGCCTCTGCACTGGCTTCCTGTGGCTCAGAGAATAGACTTTAACGCAGCTCTAATTGTGTCTCTCCATGGCCTCGCACCACAGTATATCCGAGATATGTTAGCGCCATATGAGCATTTTTTATGTTCTTAACTTTTATCTTTTTTAATACAATATGTTTTATATGTATATACACTATTTTATTTGTTATTGTTTGTGAAGCACTTTGGGTTACACTGTATGAATTGTGCTTTATAAATAAAGTTGATTAATTGATTGAACGTGGAATCCTCAGCAAGTAAACATACACCAGGAAATAGAACTAAGACAGAGACAAAGGAAACACAAAATAATCACACACAAAAAACGGAAAATAAAATGACCAGAAAGCCAACACTATGACAAAGAAGCTCTGTTTCCAGG